CCTGAAATAGAGCCCAGGTGGAGAAAACACACATCCAGTTCTTCAAACAGTTACGAACAGCTACATGTGCACATATGCACATACACACCATAGAAAGCACTGTCAGTTTAAAATAATACTTGACTACATGTAAAAAGGACCATGGAAATATTCTGTTACTAAAAAAAAAAAAAAACACACTTACACTTGTGCTCTCAAGTTAGTGCAAAACAACACCTGCACTCATCCCTTTTATAAGAGTTGCAGTGAAGTGGATTGAACTCTCTTACCTACCTGTTATCTGAATCCTTAATTCCCAAACACCCAAAACCTGTTTGTTCTATGTCCCAATTAACAAGGTCTACTAACCAGGACTATAAGTTAACCACATAAATATAAAAATATTAAATAAAGGATGCCAAATTTGCACATGAGTCCATGATCAGAATGATTCTCAGCCAATATTCCTGTAACATCTGAAGGGCCCATTATTTGCATATCAATTACTCCTCATATCTGATTCCCTTGCTCATCCAGGACACTGTGGCACTGACAGGTTATCTCTTCAAAGGTAATGACAGCACAAGTCAGAGCTGTCCAACACCAAAATAGCTATTGCACCAATACCCAGGTTGATATTAAACCCTCCTCTAAAGGGTGTCACAACACACACAGAGAAGTGACAACAGGGACTCTAAACAATATTTGTTAGTAAAGTTTTCTGCTTTAGGTACTGGAGTATGACCAATGAATACAAGTCACAGACTAAAAGAATATATGATCAATTTCAAAAAAAAAAAAAAGTTTAATAGGATGCAAACAGCTTGCAATATTACTAAATAGTTAGGTAACCTTTTTGTTGCCATTTAAGGTAAGCCACCTTGAATTTCAAGACAGAAAATGTAGTTTCAAATAATTAAATATGGAAGACTGAGGCACTAGAGGAAGACAAACTGGATTTCAGGTTATTTTGAAGAAAAAGGTCCACGCCACATTATAACATCCAGCATGGCAAGAGTCTTTAGGCTAAGAAGGCTTCACCACTGAGCTCAACACTGAACATCCCAGCACAAAGTATCTCTTTCAGTGACAGGTGTCAGAGCCTGCAGAATTGTTGCAGTAAGACAAGGGTAAAATAAACAAATGAACTTGTTCTCTTTACACTGTTGCAACTTGTATGCTGCTGAGACTCTGAGACCCTTTTCCCGTTGACCCCGCCAGAACTGTTCTTCACCTGTAAAAGGCAGAGTTTTCAGGTCAAAATCTTTCAGCCAAAAAAGTGGAGGTTCAGACAAGGTATTAGGGAGCATTTACTTATCAGGAGGGTGATCAAACACCAAAACAGGCTTTTTGGAAAAGTGGTCAATGCCTTAAGCCTGTCAGTGTTTAAAAGGCATTTTTAACTATTACTCTTCAACTATTTTTTTATTACTCTTCAACATTGCAGGTATCTTCCAACTAAACTATCTGGCTCTATTATTTAGTATTCAAAAGACAAAGGTCTTTAATCACATTACATTTACAAAGGAGAACACCATTTTCTGTGAAGCGTAGCTTTGCACTTTTGGGGACAAGTGGTGCAGAGAGGGCAAGGATGAGAAACTTCCCACTTCTCCCCGGGTGCAAAAAGCCACTTAAGCCTGGGCTCAGTACTGTCAGAAGCAACACCTGCTTCATTAATTAAGCCCTCTGCAGAGGTGGTAAACACTTACCTAGACTCGTGGGCTTTATGAGCACATCAAGCACATCGTAGAAAGGTAAGCTTTTCAGCTGGACATCGGGATGAACGGGTGGGATTGGAGGGGATGCCTGCTGCATCTCAAAGTGGGACTTAGTCTCTTGGAGTAGCACGGACCTGACAGGCGGAGAAGAAGACTGAGGCGTGACCGAAGTAGAAGGGAGTGAGTGAATGCCAGAAACAGCCAGATCAGGCTCCACAGGAGAGGAACTACTGTCCAGGTTGAAAGCCGCAGGCGTTATTGCCGATAGGTCTGAAAGTCCCTCGATCGTCCTTGGGTACCGACGCCTGTAGAGCTCTCGGATCTTGATCTGAACTGCCGGGCTGCAGCCGCTCTTCACTAAGTGCAGAGCCCTCATCAGGAGGTCATGTTTGCGTCCGCTTTTGTTCCGTCCAGCAAACCCCAGCAACACTTGCAGTTCAGAAACACGAAAACTTGATACCATATTCTAGAGAGGAGAGAGAGAGAGAAGCACAGCTGAGCCAAGAGTGCCCCAAGGAGGCCTTTACAAGGAGCTCGATGAAGCATCTACTTTCCATCATCATACCTTAGGTACTACCCACACCCTCACAAAACAAAAGAGCACAGCCGGTTTAAAATAAAGAAACAAAGCATCCAGGATGCAGTTTGGCTGTGTTAATAATTTCAAAGACTTGTTTCCACAGTGAAACAATAGTAACAAAATCTTAATGCAACTCATGCAGTACTACCCTAAACTCACAGGCAGAAGCACATTCTGTAACACAAACTAACTGGCTCACTTCAAGGAACAAGCAAACGAGAACAAAAAAATCAGATGAGTAAGTATTATGACCCATCTTCCAACACATTTTAAGCACTTCTTTACTTTACTTTATTTTTAATTTCTGCATAGTTTGTTGTGAAACTTGCTTTATTTTAGACAGAATGTTAAAGGCAGGCATGAACAGAGACAGGCACATCAGGTTTCACTGCTGAAAGGATGGAACAGCAAGGCAGAGTTTTTTAAAAGCCACATTTTATCATACTGTACACAGTGTATATACATCATACAATAGACAGACTGTTTAGCCAACAAAATTGATTCTTCAAATGTCACAAAAAAATTCCTGTCATTTTCGTATCACATTCTGGCAACATCTGACACAAAGATCTGTTGAAAGAAAATATTATTCCCTTGGTTATCGGGGTTAATTGTGGAAGACTTTGGGGATTGAACCATGGTGTTTTGACTTTGTCTTCCCTAATCCTTACTACAGAGTTTACACCCATGTGTTCTAACTTAGATCTGATCTCAACTGAAGTTATAACACAACTGTGGCTCAACCATGGAGTCAGTCACCAAAAAAATCAAAACTCCCCCTGTGCCCCTGGCTGCTTGGTCCCTATTCTCCCCTTAACATTGTGAAAATTGTTTTGTCAATAAGACAGATCACCAAATTCTGTCAGGTGAAAACTGAACTTAGAACCACAGAACCAGTAAGGTGGGAATATCCCTCCAAGATTAAATCCAACCATTCCCCCAGCACTGCCAAGGCGAACCTAACCCATGTACCATGTGCCACATCCACACAGTGTTTACATCCCTCTGAGGATGGAGACTCCATCACTGCCTTGGGCAGTCTCTGCCAGAGCTGGACAATTGTATATACGCAGAAATTTTTCCTGATATCCAATCTTAACACCACCACCATTCCCAATGCAACTTGAGGCTGTTTCCTCTCATCCTGTCTCTTGTTCTCTGGGAGCAGAGCCCGTTCCCCCCCTGGCTCCTCACTCCTGTCATAGCCAGAAGGTCCCCCCCGAGCCTCCTTTTCTCCAGGATGAGCCCCCCCAGCTCCCTCAGCCGCTCCTGCTGCTCCAGCCCCTTCCCCAGCTCCGTCCCCTTCCCCAGCTCCAGCCCCTCAGGGTCTCTCTTGTCTGCGGGCCCAGAACTGCCCCAGCACTGGAGGAGCCTCAGCAGGGCCAGCACAGGGACGGGCACTGCCCTGGCCCTGCTGCCACACCACGGCTGGGACAGCCCCGGGGCCATTGCCCTCCTGCCCCCCTGGGCACACCCGGGGTCGTGTCCAGCCGCTGTGAACAGCCATTTCCTGTGCCCTTAAAAGACAGCACAAATAAGTAGCCAGGACCTGACTTTTCAAGGCCAAATTATTTGAGCAGATCAAAACAACCATCTAAAATACTATGGCACTACTCTCATCAGGCACACCCCTTTCTTCATTGTTGAGGAGAGAAGAATTCAAACACTGAATTTCAACATTTCCAGACAGTCTGTTTGGATACACTCATGCTTCTATTAAGCAGATATTTTGATCAGAGCTAACACAGCAGCCTTCAAACAGGTATTCTCCCAACACCCTGTCTATAAATGCACTACAGACACAGCAGGCAGAGGAAACAGTCACATTTAGCAATAATGAGTGGCTCAGCCAAGCTTCTGAAGAGCCCAACAGCAGATGTCACCTTAATTTCATCCCAGCAACTTCTTTCAACAGCAAAATAATATAATACAAGAGGAGATGGAAACAGAATTCCACAGAGTTTGCAAACTGATGTAGTTTCCACCTGGCGTTCCCCTTCTGCTTTTCCTTAGTCCCAGTCAAACAGGGTGAGGAAAAAGTGTTCCAGCACTCATTAAAAAAAATGGTTTGAAGCTCTATAACAGCTTCACAGTTATGACACATAAAAGAGAAACTGCGTTAGAAGATAATACTGATATTCATGAATTTACTGAGAACTTGATGCTGCATGCTTCTGTAGATGGCTGCATAAGCTTGATAGCAACTCCAGCTCCTTTATTTCAGATGCAGGCAGTAAGTATGATTCTGGATTCCACAATCAGAATGCAAGTGAGCAAAATAATCCCTTAACAGAGATTAAGGAAACAGCATGTATTGCAAAATACTGTCTATTACCCTGCCTGCTGCCTTCTGTGCATTCCTGCAAGTTAATCAAGGTGAAATGCGCAGTCAATCACACCTCAGAACAGCTAACATTTCACAGGGAAATTCCACAAACTAGCACTTCACTACACAATGGATTTCATTTTATTAGAAGACACAGGCTGGCTTCAATACCGCAGTCAGCAAAATTTCAAAATTAACACCCACATTAGCAGTGCCTGGGAGTATAAAAAAATATACATAGTTTTGTCCAGCAATCCAAAAATCTTAGATAGGTTTTTGAAATAAGTCTTGCAAAGGGAAGCCCTACTGGATGTATTTAAACACTGGCTTTTACAACATTTCCCCCCTAAAGCTGTTTCTACTTTCACTCTAAGGACAACCATGTAAATGAAAATACGCCTCATCTGATCAACAAATTGTGCCTGACAAATCTGAAATAAAAGAGGTGGGAATGTGCAAACCTCATGAAGTTCAACAAGGTTAAGTGCAAGGTGCTGCACCTGGGTGGGCGCGATCCCAAGCACAAACAAAGGATGGTTAGAGAATGTTGCTCAGCCAGGTGATGCTCCTTAGACAGCTCCTTCCTGTCTAAACAGGCTCTAAGACAGCTGGAGAAAGACTTGGGAGATGGGGGAATGGCTTCCCACTGCCAGAGGGCAGGGTTAGATGGGATATCGGGAAGGAATTGTTGGCTGTGAGGGTGGGGAGGCCTTGGCACAGGTTGCCCAGAGAAGCTGTGGCTGCCCCATCCCTGGAAGTGTCCAAGGCCAGGGCTGGATGGGGCTTGGAGCAACCTGGGCTGGTGGAAGGTGTCCGTACCTGTGGCAGACGGAGTGGAACTGGATGGCCTATGAAGGTCCCTTCCAACCCAAACATTTCTATGATTCTGTACACGTTTTACCTTATTACTCCATTTACAGACATAAAGTGGACACAGTTTTACAGACACAACATACACTTAGGAGCATTTATAATTACGGTGCAAGGCAGGTATTGCTTCCAACAAACCCTACCAAGTTATTTTCTTTTGAGGTTCCAGCAATATTGCAGAAGACTGCAGCGTAGTTATTAACATGCTTTTCACATCACTCAATTAAGATTAGACATTCAAGTTGTGTCGTGTAAATGCCATCAATTTTCTCTTAAGAGAAGTTCTTTACAGCTGCACAGCCCAATAAAAAAAGCCTTTTTAACACAGAAGACCAAAGCTATTTTAGTTTTAATGTTTCTCCATGAACACAAAGAGTAGTTTGACAGAACTCTAAAGAAGGAAATCTGACTGGATAATTCAAGCACTGTTATATTCCAGAAACATTTTTACCCCTGAAATTCATTCTTGAAGGTCATGAGAAGTTTCTCGGGTTTTTTTGTTTCTTATTACTAAACTTTAGCAACAATGATTAATCAGCAGAAATACTGTTTCAAAGCGTTAAGCCGTATCTGATGTATCCTCTTCAAGAAAAAAAAAAGCGCAGCTAAGGCCTTCCAGGAATGAGGCAGACTGCTACATTCTCTTCCAAAAAAAAATACCTAGAGCTTTCCCTAAACAGGCCATGAATTACTATCAAACGTATGTCGAACATTTAGAGAAGCTCCAGGCTAACAGATTCATCCCACAGGCACTCCAGTTTACAAATAAGATGAATGGGAACATCAAAAACATGTCTTCAGACAATTTTTTTTTTTTTTTTTTTAACTAGTGGCACCTCTTCTTTTGAGTGATGAAAGGGCAGTCCTGCAGCCAGCCTGAAACCCAGTTCCCTTTCCCCTCCATACCTCCTGTACTATTTCTGCCAAGCAACTCAGGTGAGTCGCTATTAATTATCTATTAATTTCAAAGGTATTTAGGTATCTAATTCCCAGAAAGAGACTATCAATACTTATGGATATCCATCACAGTGCCCTGGGAAACATGGATCACAGTTCCAACTCAAGCCTGAAGAGGAGGAGATAAAAGAAGCAGGGTCACATCTGCCACAAAGTTTACACTGGGGGGGGGATAGCTAAACCCTTTGAGACACCTTGGAATGAGGGTTGAGAATGAGTGAGGATACTGAGCAACAAAACATGCAAACACAAGTTTAAAGGGAAAAATAAAAAGCAAACAATGTAAGGTTAACTTAGGAAAAAAAATGAACCAACCATTCCTAAACCCCAAACTGAGACAGAGCGCTGTTGTCCTCAGACAAAGACACCCAGTTCTTCCCATTATATTTTTATAAGCGAGCTCCTCAGCTGCACCCCGAGCCGTGCTGGAAGAAGCCCCAGCGTAGGAAATTCTCTGGCGATTGCAGCACATTTCCCGCTCCTGGTCGCGCCAACACCAGCTCAGCCCTCAGACCTTCCTCTCCACCAAAGCCCAGCTCCTCGCAGCAGTTCCTATTTAACCGAATTTTACTCATTCTGTAGCAAAGTCTAGGTCGGGGGGACAAGGCGGGGGGAGGGGTTGGCGTGCCCGCGGAATTCCCAGGAAGAATTCCACTTCTGCAGGTGTGGATGCTGCAGAAGGAACACCCTCCTCCTTCCGAACAAAGATACCCGGAGCGGATGGCTCAGGAAACGGGAGGAAAAATACAAACTGTGCAGTCAGCTCTTTCGTGTACACACCTTAAAAAACGGAAGGTCACAGACAACAACACAAATCTGCTACAGGGGGGTCCACCGGCGCAACACGAAAGACATTGGGCTGGAAATAAAACAGGTCTGAAAAGCCAACACCGGGGGCTCCGCGCTCCGCAGGCACAGCCTGCCCGGTGGGAAAGCAGTCCACGGATTCCCACAGATTCCACAACTATCAGCACTTTCAGCAGCCCGGGGGTTTTTCATCGCCTTCTCTTCGCCTCCCGGCAGGCGCCATGCGAGCCCCGGGGCCGCACGGCGGGGCCGAGGCGGCTCTAAAATGTCGGGAGGCGCGGGGAAAACCCCCCGAAGTCGGCGGCAGCACCACAGCCCGCACGGCTGTGAGATGGAGAACCGGGCACCGACAGGGAGGGTCCCCCCGGGCAGATCCCGCCGCTCCCTCCGTCCCTCCCCGGGGAAGCCGCGGATCTCCCTCCCCACCCCCCCGCCGCCCCGCGCCGACATCTTGTCCCGCCGCCGCCTCTCGCCCCCTCTTTGCCCCTCACCCGCAGCTCCGCGAAATCCGCCATTTTCTACCCGCCGCCTCCGCCGCCGCCTGTGGCCCCCTGCTTTTCCCTCACCCGCAGCTCCTCGAAATCCGCCATTTTCTACCCGCCGCCGCTGGGCGCCGGCGCCACCATCATCGTGCACCTGGTGCGCGCCCCCGTCACGTGACGGGGAGGGCGGGCCGGCGGGAAGGAGGGGAGGGGCGCTGAGGGGAGATCGGCGCCTGGAACCCTGAGGGGGAAAACCGGCCCGGTGCGGCGCAAACACAGCGGCGACCGTGAGCGGAGAGAAAAAAACAGGGCCGGTGCGGCACAAGACACAGCGGGAACGTCGAGGGAAATCGGCCCGGCGCGGCACAGCCCTGGCTCCGCGGGGCTCCTTGCGGCAGAGGCGGGGTGGCGGGAAGTCCAGCGGCCGTGGGCGGTGATCCCGGTGGGATCACAGGGTCGTTAAGGCTGGAAGGGGAGATCATCCAGTCCACACTCTCCCGCCCGCCAGAGCAGGGTCACCTGGAGCAGGTCACACAGGAACACAGGGTTTGGAACGTCTCCAGGGAGGGAGACTCCACGCCCACCCTGGGCAGCTGTCCCAGTGCTCTGCCACCCTCAGCATGAAGAAGTTATTCCTCGTGTTGAGGTGAAGCTCCCGGTGTTGTAGTTTACGGCCATTGCTCCACGTCCTGCCACTGGGCACCACCGAAAGGAGTCCGGCACCATCCTCTGACACCCACCTTTGGGATGTTTATATGAATTAATTATGCCCTCTCAGTTTCCCAGACTAAGCAGGTGCAGCTCCTCCAATTACCCTCTGCCCATCAGAGGAGACCCATAATCATCTCTGTGCCCTTTACTGGACTCTCTCCAGTCTTTATTGTACTGAGCAGCCCAGAAATGGACTCACCTGCCATGCTCCCTCCCCTCCAGGATTAACACTCAGCTCTTCAACAGTGTTGTTCTATTACAAAAAGAAAGAGGAAGAGAGCAAATCACAGAAATAATAAATAAAAAATAGCCCGGTATGGAGATTGAAGTGGATTTTAAATGGGAAGGTTATGATTTTACAGCTTTCCCAGTTTATCCACCCAATCAAGAGCACTCTCTCATAATTTGTGTTAAAATGACGGTGCAGCACATTTTATTAATAAAAAATGAGGGGGAAATGTCACCAGCAGTAAGCTTCAAAAACTGGATAATGGGTTTCCCGCTGCAGGGGAAATGTTGAGACATTTACAGAAAAATAAACATCGAGGTGCAGCTGAGAATATTGTTTCCAAAAGCAGCCAGAGATCATTATCTAGTCTCAATAATTACCTAGTCACAATATTCAGTTTTGTTGGCAACTGGGCCGTTAAACCAAACAACTAATTTATTGCAATAAAAAATAGCAAAGGCTCGGCCAACAAACAGGCAAGCAGCCAAACCAACCCCAACAAGAAGATGAAGAGACACTAGAAGAGAAGGGAGGTCTGAAAGGCAAGACATATTTGGTCATATTAATCAAAAGGCAGCTGTTTTAGCACAATTGATGGATTCAAAGCAGTGACTGCAACAGCAATTAGTGGGCCAAGGGTCCACACTGCTCTGCTGGGGGGGATGCTGGCAGACAATTTTGGGAACAAGGAGCTGAGCTTTTCTCGAGGATACTGATCTCTGCCAAACACACCAGCTAAGGACACTTAATACTGCTACAAGACCTGGACACCAGGAACTCAATAATTACCATTACTAGTGTTATTTTGCAATAGCTTTCTGAGGCAGGCTTTCCTTTTTATTTACTGTCAGCTATTCCAAAATAAACCATCAGCTGTGCTAAAGTTTTTAACCATAGGCACAGGTATCTAGTTCTTCTCTGCATAAACTGGTTCTGTGCTTGGTCTTAGGACACCCATTTCCCTGAAGCTTTAAACATAAGGACTTTATTCATTTCAAGCCCCTTTTGTTAGTAAAAGCAAGAATTCACAGGCTAATAAGACATGCCATCTGCCACGCTGCTGCACAAGTTGAACTCCCAAGTCCATCAAATGCTTGTTTTTCCCTGCATTTCAACACCAGACCAAAGGGACTGAAGGTATACAAGCTGTAGGTTAGGCTCTCTGAGATCATTAAAGCACAACCAGACTAAAGCTTTCTCCTTGTCCTTTTTGCACACCCTCACAAGTTCCTTCCTGCAAGGACACTGGGAAAGACAACAGTGTTCAAGCTTACACCAGAACCAGGCATTTCTTTTCTCATATAACATTCACCTCTCACTTCATAACCACATCTTTCAGTCTTCCCATTAATCTCATCCTCGATATCCACTGGGATAAGAGCAAACAATATAGTTTATATTTTAACAGCTCACATAAGATAATAAGAGTTTACATAGTAGCTTATCCTAATTTTTTTCTTACAGTTCCTTCATTGCATTTTCTTTTCCTCCACCTTTGTCTCACAACCTTTCTGATACGTATCTCTGGAGCCATATCCTCAAAAAACCCCCAAAAAACAAAACCAAAAAGCAGCAAACCAAAATCAAAACAAAACAAAAACCCACAAACAAAACCACACACAGAAACAAACAAACAAAGCCCCCAAAACAAACAAACAAAAACCCACCATCACACAAAACAACTATACTTTTAGTCCTCCTCAAGTTTCTTCCCAGCTCCCTACTTCACAAAAGCATAGGCCACAGTCATATCCTCTCCCATTCCATTATCTCCACACTAAAATTTATCTCAAATCTCTGTTCTGCTTTTACAGTAACAAGAATCAGTCTTCCCTTTTGCTCTACTTCTTCAAAAATCCTGCTGCTTTATCAAAACCCCCCACACACACACACATGAACTCCAGGCTTACACTCCCCGGTTACCAGGCCATCTTACCAAAATTTCAACCATTTCAACATTTCTCTTTCCACCAAACTTTTAAGAAACCTACGTCAACTTTTTGACATTCTTCCAGGTTGTGCTGCTTCTCCTTGTACTGCCTTTTCCGATAGTGCCTCTTTCTCCTCCGGCACCCCTTTCTCCCCCTTCTCCTCTGGTGACCTGTTGCTGAACCATTCTTCAGGCTCTTCCCTTGATCCCATTCTGACTTTACACGGCAGGCTTTAGCTCTCTTCTTAGCTCTAGCCATCCAAGCAGCAGGAGACCCACCCTTCCCCAAGGCAGTCAGTCCATAATCCCAAATGACAGGATATCACAGGAGTTTTTTGTATTTTTTTTTTCCCAATAGGCTCTAATTCCAGCAAGAAGGCAGCCTATAGGTGCTAAGCATCCCGTCCCCTAAACTGAGGCTTGCTAGGGAAAAACCAGTACATCTGTTTTCAACCGTTTCTAGTAATCTTTCTAGCAGTATGAATGGTATGTCAACACAAGCACTGTCTGTTCCCACAGCTGTGATAACTACCGAAAGACATCTGAACATCCAAAGAAACCCTCCCAACCGTCCACAAACTCTGCAGTTAAAAATAAATAGATAAGCACTTTAAAAAAAAAAAAAAAATCAAACCCACCAGCCTACAGCTGTTCCGAGCCTTGCAGCAATTACTCTTATCAACATTACACCTCCTCAAACTCCTCCCGTGGTTCTGAACCAGCTGCTAAGAGACAATGGAGTGTGCACTGCAGGCTGGGATGGGAGCCTGGTGTGACTGGCTGGAAAGCTGGAAGGCTTCTCCATCATCTTTCCCGTCCCATAGTAACTTATTTTAAGGTAACAATGTTACTTTAAGGTAACACTAAAAGTGGTTGGCAAAAATGTTTAAGTGATGGTCGGTGCCTACAACCCTCTTGTGTGAGGTCTAGAGCTGCCAAAGCACAGATGAAATACATATTTTGCTTGCCCATCCTAATGTACCAGGGTGATACACCTATATTTTGGTTATAAGGCCAACAGGGAAACATTTAAATTTTGCTATAAAGTTGTTTACTTGAACATTATTATTTTTATTTAATTATGTTTATTAACATATGCCTAGATTTCCCAGTCTCGAACACAGCCTCCCTGACTGTAGGTGGGCATTTGCTTCCATGGACAGTTCTTGTGAAAATTACCCTCAAGTTTTGTTCCAAGGATTTGAAGAATCTCTCTCTTTATCCATTAAAACATCAGAAAACCTTGTACTAAGATACCACTACTCCTTTAACACTCATGGTGGAAAACTCTCTCCAGTGGAGCACAGCCTCAAACAGAGGCTGTTCTCCCGACAGTAATGATCTTGGAAACATAACTGGGATGGCTTGAATCCCAACTTTAATTGTCTTCACCTTTCTTTCAGAGCCATAAAACAGAAGCAACCAGTAATGGAAACCCGAACTTATTACCCACTCTACTACCACACTAAGGGAAACTAAATCGAATGCAAATTTCTGGTAGGAGGGAACCTGAGTTAGATGCAGGAACATTAATCTGATCCACTTTGAAAAAACTCCATGTTTTATGAGACAGATTAATAAAAGAAATATATTTAATTAGATGGGTGGAATTACATTACATTTGCAGCACAACCATCTGAGCTGTGAACATACACCAAAGTCATGTTTTCGATTAGGAAATGAGATATACAGAGAGGAGGGAGGGAAGGGTTGTAAGAGGTATGTGCACTGGGAGATAATCAGTGAAGGGAACTCAAGGGAACACAAAGCCTATCTGGGCCTATACTGGAATATAAGAGTTTAAGAAAAAGGCAGGGGAAACATCCTGAGTGGAAACAGAGTGACACCACAAGGATAAGGGGCTACTGACAGTGGTAGTAAGGAGTGTATTTGGAGAAAGGTCTGGATGTCTGCAAAACATGTTTTTGAGGATGAGATGCTAAGCAAGCTTTGGTAGAGAATCCCAGACCAGTTTGGGCTGGAAGGAACCTTAAAGATCTCATTTCAAACCCCTTGCAGTGGGCAGGGACACTTTAAATTAGACCAGGTTGCATTGCATGGGTGTAAGAACCTGGTAGTTACATTGTCCAAGAACAGCTGGTGAAACTGGGCAGCTGCTGACTTTGGGAATAGGGATGATAAAAGCCTTTCCCACAAAGCTGATGGGTGCAATGCATGCGTATACCAATTCCTGTGAGTGGAACGCACAGGATTCCTCATAAAAGATGAGTTTTGGGAGTGGTCTTGAGACAGAGCTTTAGGTTTTGTCAGCCTCTTGCAGGATCATAGGTTCTTCTCCAGCTTGACTGAAGCTGGGCAGCATCCAACAGGCACAACTAATCCCTCCAATAAATCAAACCCTGAACCCTGGAGGCTGCAGCGGCCAGGCAGCCGAGCTGTGCTCCAAAGAGGGTCCTTCTCTCAGCCCTGTGGACTCCCCCAGAGTGGTAGTCTCCATTTTAACACTTGCCAGCACCCTTGACGTGAGGGACCGAGTGGAGTCTGCGTCTGGTTGGACACATCTCGTCTGTGTCAGGTGAGCTGGGCGTATTTAACAGCCAGGTGGGCAGGGCTGTGCTGGTTTGGCTTGGCTTGCGATGGTCTGGGGTTCGTTTCGGCTTGGTTTGGCTCAGTTTGGGTTGGTTTTGCTTGTTTTGGGTTGGCTTGGCTTGGTTTGCACGTTGTGGGATGTTTTGGGTTGGTTTGTCATGCTTTGGGTTGGTTTGGCTTGATTTGGCATACCATGGGATGGTTTGGCTTGGTTCGGTGTATTTTGGCATGGTTTGGGTTGGTTTCTCTTGTTTTGGGTTGGTTTGTCATGTTTTGGGATGTTTGGGGATGTTTTGGGTTGGTTTCGCTTGTTTTGGGTTGGTTTGAGTTGGTCTGGCCTGGTCCGTGTCCGTACCGCTCCTCCCTCTCCTCCCGATACCCCCCTCTCCCCTCACAGCCCCCTTGCCGCTAAGGAGAGCCCAGCGCCCATTGGTCACCACAGCTGCTAGCCCCGCCTTCCCTCACCGTACTTCGCTTCTGATTAGTTATCTTTCCTGCCAGTCTTTTACTTTCCGGCGTTTCGATTGGCTGTGCCAGGGAAGCAGGGCGGGCCTGTCCCCCGCGGCGCCCGCGGGGCTCGGCGTGGTTGGGGCCCGGGTGTTCCCGGGAGCATTCCCGGCAGCGTTCCCGCCGGCATTCCCCGCCGCCATGGAGCTCTCTTGCCAGGCTCTGAGAACCACCCACCAGGCCAGAGAAGCGGTGAGAGCCGGCAGGGCGGGTGGCCACGCGTCGCCGTTGCCATGGCAACGGGACTGCGCATGCGCAGGGCAGTGCAGGGTGTCATGGCGGCGGGGCTGGAGCAGGCCGTGGTGGGCAGGGACGGGCACAGATTCTCCCCCACAGCCCCTCTGTTCGTGGTCCTGGATCACCAGGCACAGCCACAGCGGGCAGTCCAGGCTTCTCCCTTCCCCGGCCGCTGTTTTCATCGGTCACGGCTGTATAGCGCCGCTGCACCTCTACCCCATCAGCCCCATTCCTGGAAGTGTCCAGAGCCAGGCTGGGCGGGCCGTGGAGCAACTTGGGATAGTGGAAGGTGTCCTTGCCCATGGCAGGGGATTGGAACTGCATGATCCTTAAAGATCCCTTTCAGCCCAAACCATTACGTTATTCTATGAATCTTCCCCCAGGAAGCCCAGGAACAGCAGGATTTAGCTAAATTTTGTAGCCTGTTCTTTTGCTTCCATCTGCTGGTCAAATGACACTGGAGTGGAGGCGACTGCAGGGCTGCTAAAAGCCTTTCCTATAGTGCTGTTGGTTGCAGTGCATGCGTACACCAATCCTTGTTCCCACTGTGCCTGGAAAGCACAAGCTTCCTCAAAAAATGAGGAGTTTTGCCCAAAGAGGGATTCTGATGTCACCAAAAATCTTGGGGGGAGAAGAGAAAGCCTCCAACACACCTTTTAAGTGTTGGTGATCCAGGCAGTGCTTTATTCTGGCCAGAGACACCTCGTGAATCATTCCAGCTGTGTAAATCCCTTGCAAGATTTTTCAAGTATTTATACATTTTAGCAAACAAAGAAAATAATGTTAATTGGTTTTAAGTTACACAGTTCTCTTAATTTAATTGGTATTCTGCCCTTTACTGTCTAATTGGATCCACATTCTTCGATTCTCTTATCATTCTTCCTTAGACAAAAAAATCTCTAATTCTCAGGCCGTAATTTCTTTGTTAATCTCCTCTGTATCTTCTGGTTGGTCCAACATATCTTAGAAGGACCATAAATTTAAAAACCCAGACGTCCAATCCTCACCTCCCTCAAGCTTTGTTTATTGGAGCTCATCAGAGCTAACTTAGAGAAACTCGAAGCTTTGGTGATTTAAAGATCAAACTGACAAGTCTTTAAGGAGAGAAAAAAAAAAAAAAGGAACACAGCTAACAGCTACCATTAATTAAAATTTTAGGAAAGTTATGTCATATTGAACACTGAGACTGAGGTTTAGGTTATGTCAACCTCTTGTGGAATCAAAGAACAGCCTGTGTTGGAAGAGACCCACAAGGATCATCAAGTTCTGCCCAGGACACCCCAACGATCACACCCTGTCCCTTTAGAGCGTTGTCCAAACACTCCTGTCAGCCTTGGGGCTGTGACCGCTGCCCTGGAGAGCCTGTTCAGTGCCAACCACCCTCTGGGGGAAGAATCTTTTCCTGAGATCCAACCTAAACCTCCCCTGGCACAGCTCCAGCCATTCCCTGGGTCCTTTCACTGCTCACCACAGAGAAAAGATCAATGCCTGCTCCTCTGCTGCCTCTCCTGAGGAGGTATTAGTGGGTTATATATCTACCAGGAATGGAGTCCTCCAGCACAGTCTCTTTCTGAGCCCTGAAGTGGATTCAGGTCCCAGCCACTGGGAAAGGAGCCCTAAGGTGTGGTATTGAAACAGCAGTGAGGTACAGAAAGGAAAGAGGAGAAAAAAAGGTCTGATGTGTAACCTCACCAGTGGGTATTTGGGTGCCCTTGGTTCCCAGGATGGTGTTGGCTACTAAATGAGGAAACGTGTGGGATGAGGGCCTGGAGCTCAAGCTCCGTCAGCTGTGCCTCTGGGTTTGGGTTGGTGTGCTCTGTGAGCTGGCTCCTCCACAGCCTTTTGGCAGGATGGATGTGAAGATAGCAATCTACAGTTTGGGTACAGAGGGAGTTGTTTGTGTTCCACAGAGGAGCAGAAGTTTGGAGCCCTCTTTTTAATTAGTGACTTGAAAGGAAGCTGCCGAGAGGATTTTTTTTTTGATTTGTGCTCTAAGGTTTTGCCTCCCTTCTGTGGAGGGAGCCTCGCTACTTAATGTCTGGTTTCTGAATTCCAGTATTCAGGTGGAGTATCTCTAAGTTAGACTGTTACATGTTTAATCTTTAGCACTAAGTAATTTGTGGGATTTCTAATTCCATTGTCCTGCCCTTATCTGTACTGCATTTTTCCGGTAATCTTCTCTACAGAGTGGAAGTCATTATTTTCTAGCAATTCTGGGGAAAAGTGTTTTTAAAAAAAGTTCCTATATGCATTGCAATTCCGTAGCTGTTCACAGCTACCCAGTATAATCTTACAGTCAAATAAACTTGTCTTGTGAGGCATTTAACTGGTGTTAATTGTAAAATATTTCCTGTGTTTGCTTTGTAAATGCCCCTTGACAAACAATATTATTGTGAACTGCAGTAGGACTTTGCAAATTCCTACAAATGAGTGGGAGAGTTAATGCTTTATTGGTCAATCCTTTATTGTTAATTGTTCATTAATTTGTAAATTCATCATCCTTGATGCGTATAATTCACCATTCTTTGTCTCCATTCATTTTTACGTGTTCATAATATGTATCACTTCAAATTAGTGAGGTCTTGGACGTGTAAAACCTGGCTTCAGCAGTGTTCATGTTAAAAGAGGGAGATAACAGTGTTCTGAGGGTGGCTTTTAAAATTGGAGCATGAATTAATGAAAGACAACATTGCAGTGGGGGGAGAAATCAGAAGGCTTCTGTTTTCAGTGCACCAAACTCAAATTGTAAAATATCTCATGATTTTATAACAGTCCCAGGTACATCCTACTGCCAGGACAGCCATAAGTTCTGTGGTGAGCTTGCTGTATGTCTTTAATTATGAAAGCTCGTTGTAATCCTTGAAAAACTTTGCCAGCTCTATTGTTTGCAGCAGCCGTGTGTGATTTGGAAGAGAGAAGAGGGCAAAGCGCCCTTTCTTTGTCCTGGGAAATTCTATTCAGTGGCAGCCAAGTTATACATTGTTTAAAACTCACCAGTTCCCTCCTCTGCTTGTGTTTCTCAAAAAGTACTGTCAGCAAGCCAGGCAATAACTGAACTGACATTCAGCCCTCTAAAAAGCCTGTCAAGGCTGCAAATGTCCAGTGCAACAAGGGGGAGGGAAAGCTGTGGGGATGCAGGGTGGTGGAGAGGGGAGGAAAACTGGGCAAGCCCATAAAGTCTCTCTATCCTGGCACACGGTGCCAGCTTGATCTCGAGGAAGCCTGCACTTGGCAGTGTCCTGGAATCCTAAGGACAAAGAGGGAAGGGACACTGCATGTGTATCGTGGTAAATTCTTTCCCTGTGTGATGACAGCCTGAATTCCTGACCACAGACCCCTCTGAACTCATCCTATTGACCGCCCCAGTTGGATGTACATGGACACAATGCTAAAGCAGTATAGTTCTCATTCTCAAGCTCCCCAGACCGTGACTTACATTGCAACCCTTTTTTTTTTCCCACCCTAACGAATATATTAGTGTAGAATACATACGGGCAAAAGATAATGAAATGTTATAGAGTTAAATTAATCTTTTAGGAGGCCCATTAATTTGATGGAATTACACAAGAGACTCAGTTGATTTATAATGTAAATGCATTTTAGGAAAAGGTGTGGAAATGACTAAACAAACAGTTGCATTTGAAGATGCACAACTCTATTAGAGTTTAATTTCAATTGACTCAGAGAAAGGAGTGTGTAGTGCTCTTTTGTTAAGCTAGAAATAAATAAAATAGCACTGTAAATGTTGGAGCTAATTAGTTAAGTGCTCAACTATTTAGTTTTTAAAACAAGATCACATTTAAGTGCCTTAAGCTTTTATTAATTTCAGGGACCCCAAAATCCCCTATAGTAATTGAAAATTTAATTACATACATTTTTTTGTTCTTTTAAGAATGGAAGCTTATTAAACTTTAAACATTTAAACATCTATTGAAATACCAGTGGCTATAAACAACATGCAATTCTAAATACTAATTAAACAGGAAGGCTAAATTGCTATAAAGCTAAACTGAATTTTAAGTAACTTTGCACTCGTAAGCACTCCTGTTTTTTTCATGCTGTGTTAAGATTTACCATTTCCTCCCTGTACAGCAGAAGCCCTGGGCAGTGTTGGTGTCTGTCTGTACGGTGGCCATGGTTTGTGGACATGTTTGCAGTGGGGGTCAGTCCCTGGAGGATAAACTGGAGTTCAGGACGGCAGACCAGGGTGGGCAGAGAGCTGTTCTCTGCTGGCACTGACATCTGGGAAGAGTGTGTGGTAAAATAGGACTGGTGAAGGCAGGAATTGGTGCAGAAAGCAATGGTCTGTGCACCACTGACTAACCAGAGGCATGATTTGGTAACTGTAACACGATGTAAGGTCCTTGATTTTTCTTTTATAGAAACCTCACAGAACTGGGACCAGAGATGTTCTCTTTTGTGTTTCAGATCCAACCTAATGCAAGTCTTTTTTAATGAGTTAAAGGTGGAATTAACCTCTCAGTCTAAACTCTTCTGATTTTTAGATGAGGCTCTTTATGGATGTAAAGGTTCACTTTTCCTTCTCTTGGTCAGCACAGCCAGAACATTACTATGCCAAGGCTGAAGTAGGTGTCTCATACGTAGGCACAGTGTTGTACTATACCCAAAGCAAGGCTCTGCATGGAGTATTTGAGATGCTGCCAATCACTGTATCACTAATTATACTAGAACTTAAAATGCTTTAGGGAAAGCAGGAGTAACCCAGAGGGATGAACAGCAGCAGAAGACATGCCAGAATGCAAACGCTTTTCAAGGGAAGTTCCAAGCATCGATAGTGAGCCCTGTCAGTTCATCAGACGGAGGCAATTCCTCTCTTGTCAAGAGTGTCCATGTTTATTACACGAAACACTTGATATGTTTGTCTTCTGTGGCAGCCACTGTGTTTGCATTTTGTGCTTTAAGTATTCAGAGGTAGCTGTGACCTTGCCCTTTGATATGTGGGCAAACGCAACAGTTAATCTTTCTCAGCATAAAAAAACATCTGGAGCAATTGCATTTTGAAGAATGTACAGGTGGGAGTCTCAGCTTCCTTCTTGCACCTCCGACCGTGTTTCAGAAGATTCAGATTATCCAGGAGAAACGGTAAAAGGGCCACAATTCAAAATCTTTTTCGAGCACTGGCACCTCAAAAATTAAGAAGGAAAAGATCCTGTCATCCCAGGATGTCAGTGTTTTCTCTCTCCTCATGACAGTTCTCAGAATTGGTTCATTTCTTGTTGCAGCAGCTCACAGGAACCAGTCTGCTTCATTCAAGTGTTACTAATCTACCAAGCATTTGCACAGTTTTCTTTTCTCACCAGAACGGTTCAGAAAAGTTATCTTGGTACCTCCACTGAAGTGCAAACAGTATTGTAGCTCCCTTATGGACCCTGAGAAACTTCATCAAGACGGTATCAAAGTATCTAAAGGCTAGAAATGGGGTGTGGTTTCTTCAGTTTTCCTCAGGCAGTTTAATTCTTCTTTATAGAAAAGCAGAATGAAGAGTCTGTGAATCTTGTTAGTAATATGTGAATCTCAACTTTCACTCTGCAGGAAGTGTTTAAGAGCAAACCCCAGCCCTTTCTTAGTCGTGACACTAGGTGGCCCCTGAAGCAAACATCCCAGGAAATACTTACTGGGATACCTTTTCCCTGCTCTACCCAGTACTTTTTAGAGGCTGACAGATTTTATTTTATGATAAAGCAATAGCTGACTGTGCTATCCTAAGTGTTTAAATTAGCAGCAGAATGCTATGTGATATTCATACAGAGCAGAGGGAGGAGTTAGATCTAATCTGGCTAAGGAGCAGCATGCTAAAGAGGTAAATTGGTTTTGCACGACCCTCAAACACCTTTGATTTTAGGAATAAATGATTCTCCAGTATCAGCAGTTTAGTGTAATGACATTTCCTTCCAAGAGACCCTGAAGGATAGAGGAATTGCCTGTTTGTGTTCGTATTCCTTCTGTGCGTATTGTGAGGTTTGAGAACATAAGCTTTGGCCGGTAGTAATCCTTTGGCACGTCAGTGTGCCAGGCACAGGCAGAGCAGCAGAAGTCCCTGACACAGATGCTGGGACTCTGTTTGCAGCATGAAGGGGATGGAGGTCTGTGGGTCTGTCCCCTGCAGGTCACACACTTAGGCTGGGCTTTTCTTGGGGGTGGATGTTCAGTTGGAGGGAAACTGAGGGGGGAAGTAGGAGCCTGTGCAGCATTACTGTGCAGTGTGATCAGGAATGTTTGTGTGCTATGCAAGAAATTACTGCTCTTACCCCATCCACTAAGTAAGTGCCACTCTTTCAGCTCTCACCGGGTCCTCATAAGTAATCATAGAATCATAAAATACACAGAATATCCCAAGTTGGAATGGACCCACGAGGATCATCAACTCCATTTTCCAATGCTGAATGTGAGCATCCTAAGAGAGAAAGAATTTATTTCCCCAAATGTGGGTTTGGCCATACCTGCTTTTCCTGTGGTCCCAGCTTCAAGTCCCAGTGAGGCCAACCAGAGTCAACACGCTGATTTCTAGCAAAAATTCATGTAGCAACTTCAGTTATGACCCTGAAATCTCAGGGTTTCTCTGCAACCACTCAGCAAAGACAGCATGTTTCGCTGGAGTTAGGCCTTGTTCTAACATCTGGCATGATTTCTGTTTCCACCACCCCATTTTCCCTACTTGATACTGCACCTGGTGCTCCCCCAGATGCTGCTTCACTGAATGAAGACAGAGGTGTTTTACTCTGCTTTGTTTTTATTGCTGAACTGTTTGTGAATGACTTGGGGTTCTCCACTCTGTGCCAAGAAACCCGTGGTACTGACTGCATATTGAAATTTCTGTGTGTTGAGGCCTGGTTTTGGTCCTTCTTGTGTTAAAATCATGCAAGTTTGGTGTTACCCCAGTCCACTACAATTCTGCAGGTGTCTGTGTCTCACTTGCTGTGTTTATATGTCAAGGCCCATGAAACAGGAGATGCCAACAGTGTTAACAGCTGGTCTTGGTAGTAGAGCCATGCAAGTCCCAGACCTGTTCTCCAGCCCCCTCCTCCAAGCACTCAGAGAACAGGTTTCTGGTTGCGAGGGAAGGACACAGCCAGGCTGGAGCACTAGATTTCCTTGCACAACCCCTGGAGACTCTGGGCATTGATGTCTGCAAGAGTCCTGCCCTGGAATATGCAGCAGCCTGAACATGTTGGAGATTCATAACCGTAGTAAGGGAAGAAAGCTATTTGTTCAACCTCAAAGGAGTTTTCTCTTCTCGAGGAAGAGGCTGCTACCCATCCAGTAGCCCTGATAATGTGTAAGAAAAATTAGATTGAAAACCACTTTCCTTGTGTTTATTAACAGTGAGTTGTTTTACAGTTCCTACATGCTGCTGTCTTAATTTGTTTGTTTCCACAGGCTACATTTAGATGCTGTTTACAGCAATAAAGAGAATATTACATTTGATCTAGAGTTCTGTCTTAATTCACAGGAGGAGATGCGAACAGAAGCTCGTCGGAAAAATCTCCTCATTCTAATTTTGCATTATTTAATGGAGGAAGGGTATGTTTTTAAAATAACAGGGCTCTGCTTTGTGGGACTGTGTGTGTCTGACCCCCTGTCCTGTGTCCTTCTGTTGGGTGGATCAAGAGTGTGGGCCTTTGGGCTGATGTGAGAAAGAGGTAAACTACTATTACATATCTTGGCATTTTACTTTGCTAAATTGTTTCAGTTTCTGGAACAAAAATATCTCTATAATTAAAAAATACTTTAGATCAACCAGCAAAGGTTTTTTTAAATAGAGTTTATACTTTTATAAAACATAGAGTTGTGGACAAGTTAAAAATACCATGTAGTTACTAATGCCGTTGTTTGCTTTTTCTCTTAAAAATCAGAGTAAGATAATGATTCTCAGTTTTTTGATCTTTGTTCCTTTTTTTTAAAATTACCAGATATGTCGATGCTGCAAATGCTTTGGAAAAAGAGACGAAATTAAGTTTACGTGGCTTTGAAGTTTGTGACAACGTTGATCTTGAGACAATTTTGATGGAATATGAAAGCTATTACTTTGTAAAATTTCAAAAGTATCCTAAAATTACCAAAAGGATCCTGGACACTGGTATGTGGCTCTGTTCCAAAAAGAAAGCTTTTGTTTCCAAAGCCTAAAATGTATGTTTGCCTGCTATGCTAACAGCCCTTTTTGTGTATGTCAGCATTTAATGTTCCAACCCTTACAGTTACAGACCTATAGTTCTAGCACAGAAGACATAAGAATTGAGAGATGGGGTTTTGAGCCCTTCTCCTCTCCCTTCTCTCATTATGTAGAGGAACAAGAAAGTGGCATTCTTCTGTCTTTTAAAAACTGCTGTGATAGTGGAAAACGTCAGCTGAGCACAAAGCATTGTGGCATAGATATATTTATTCACTTTCTTCTCGTGGAGAGAGAATAGTAAGGCTGAGGTGTAAAAGAATGATACAGAATAAGGCAAGTCAGAATATGAGCATTCTGTCATGACCCTGAGAAGCCATAAGAACAACTGTGTAAAAATCAGTGATGAAGAGCTTGAAGGATACAGATTTGAACTGGATATTGGGAAAATTTCTTCATGGAGAGGGTTGTCCAGCCAGCCCTGGCACAGCTGCCCAGGGCAGTGCTGGGGTCCCCATCCCTGGAGGGATTTAAAAGCCCTATGGAAGTGGCAGCTGGGGACATGGGTTAGTGGTGGCCTTGGCAGTGCTGGGGGAATGGTTGGACTTGATGGCCTTGGAGGGCTTTTCCAACCTAAAGGATTCTGTGATTATTTGCATGAAAAAGGTGTGTGCATCTAGAACCTGTGATTGGTGTTAGTACAAAAAGGAACAGCCTTGCAGGACAAAACCAAAGGGATTTGTCATGAATCAAGGGTGAAAATGTATTACAAAGCATTTGTTCACATCTTAGTCAAACTGAGTGGTAGTCAAGGCTCAATCCATGATTGAAGGGAAAAAACCCAATTCCTAGAAAGCCGCTCTGGGACATTTAAAAGCTCTCAGTATGCATTTTTTTTGTCAGTAAAGCTACTCAGACTTGGAGTACTCTGGCATTATCCAAGCTCAGTTGTGACTGTGCTGGCAGGGAGGCATCATCCTTTTTCCCTGAAGTGTAAGCAGCCTCCTCTCATGCATGTCGTTTGCAAGGTGCCCTAAACTGTTCCCATGGTCAGATATGTGTATCTAAACAAAAGGCTTAGTGTGGTGCTCCTTCCTGCTAAACTCTTTGCAATGCTCTCGGGAAGTCCTGGAGAACTAACTTGGTCACTTCCGTGCTGGGCTCCAGTTGGAAGTATTACAGACAAACCCCCGGGGTCACAAGTTTATCTGTGGGCTCTGCTGCCTCTGCGTTCCCAAGCTCTTTGAGGGAAAGAGCTGTTTGGGGAGGATTATTTTATGTGAGTGTGGGAGAATCTTGAGTGGCAGAGTGCTGTACAGAGAACACTGATAGGAGACATGTTTTGGAACAACCAGGACTGTGCTGCTGGTAGGGCACAAACCCTCGGCTTTATGAGTTCACATCTGGGCTTTGAGAGTTTGATATTTTGTGGGGAAAAAAACACAAAAAACAAAAAACTTTCCTTTGACAGAATTTGTTTCAAATTATATAAACACCAAAAAATAGCATAGTTTGATAACCAGCCCTGCAATGTGACTTTTATTCTGTCTTGTTATGTTGAACTTGATTATTATGAAGAGGAGTAAGGCAAATCCATATTTCCCAATTCAGCAATGAAAAAATTATTAGCATTAAATAAGCATTCAGTGTGATATATTAAATTATTGTGCTTAATCTAATTTCTGGTAGTGCCCATGTGAACATGATACTGGTTTTAAAATGTAAGCAGAGGAGCCAAAGACTGAATGAGCCTAAACCAGAATAAGCTTGAAGCAAAACTGCTCTCACCAATGTCAGTTTGTTTTCAAAAAGTTTTTGCAAGCTTGCAGTGCTTATATTATCATACTGATCCTGCTTATGCATTGTTATTTCCAACGTCACTGATGTATGCTTACAAATATTTTTGAAGGGAGGAAAAAAAAAAGTCAAATTGCCTTTTTTTTCTGTCCTTAATTGTTTTCCATTTCAATGTTGATTTTGCCACAGCCGAAAATAAACAACAGCTGCGAACTGGGGGAAGACCAAGAAGGTAAGAGAAACATGTGAGGTGTTTTTCTGGGCAGAAAATTTTCCTGTAAAAACAATATGCCCCCTGGTTAAAATAATGTTGTGATACCTCAGGAATACTAAAGCCCAGGGCTGTGCTGATGACTGTGAGATGTATTACAGGCAAATAGAGACTTGTTTCCCAAATGGAGAGGCAGCCAATTTGCAAAGTTTCTGCAGTGTGGGTAAGGTAGGGTGAGGTGTTTGTAAACAGTAAGCATTGAACTCTGCTGCGATTGAAATTGATGCCATAGCTTCAGCAGGAGCAAAGTTATCCCAAAACTGCTTTATTTGAAAACTTGCCTTCCTTTGGTATTTGGAAGGAAAAAAAGAAGTTGTGAAAAGGCTTTTTTTTTTTTCTTCTTCTTTTCTTCTTTTCTTCTTTTTTTTTTTTAATTCTAGGGCAGCAAGCTCTTCTCAAAATATACCAAGGCTCAAGGTGCAGACGGTGCACCACACTGCGTCAAAAACTTCTGGAAGTACAACAGAACCTAAATCATCTGCCAAGGAGAGCCCCAGACAGGTTTAAACATGTTTTACCTTGGTACCATTACAGTTGAAATTAATGTGATTTTATTTTTGAGAGTCTATAGGCAGCAAGTGTATGGGAGTCACACCATTAATAACTGTGCAACTAATGGGCTTTTTTGATTGTGTAATTCAAGGATTATAGGTGAAAGACTTCAAAAGAACATGTTTTCTGGCTGTGAGTTGGGGGGCAAGTCACAGGCAAAAACTGGAGGAAAAGGAGTGATATAATCCAACTTACAGTGAAAGCAATCAGTTTTCTCATTAATACCAGCATATTCATCCTTTAGTGCCAGAAAGCAAGACAAACAAGTCAAACAGAAAGTCAGGTTAGTCAGGTGTGAGTTGTAAGCATCTTCGCAGTGCATAAGGTGTTTGAGACTGGGGGAGTAGTTTGGCCCTGTAATTTTCAATGCTGGGAGTCTCATTTGGTTAAGGTAACTGTGAAATCCACTTTATTATCATCCCTTACAGAGGGTGGCCCAGGAGTAGCAGGTTGGTGGGCAAGCACTGTGTCTGTTCCACCTTTTTTTAAGGGCTTGTCTATATTTCTGCACAAAGAGGAATCTGACCTGTTTTTACCCCTAAAAAACCCCCAAACATTACCTTTTGGATTTTACAGCAATAACTTCTGTGGAGTGAATATGTAATAGCTCCTCATCTCTGAGTTGAGGTTCTGTACCTTACATTTGCCTGTAATTTCTACTGTTCATAAGTGTTGCCTCTTACAACTGTATAAAGTGCAGTTTCCTGCCCTGTACATGGAATAAGTGGACTGCTAAGCTCTGGAGCTGTGGCTTTCACTGCTGACACCAGTCAGATGAAGCCTAACTAAATGTAAGTGGTGTTGGTCTGACAAGTATGGGATTACTCTTGGAACTTCTGTGTAATGATACAGTTCATCTGGGCATATATGAAAAGGTGGGATGATACCTATAATGTAATATTTTCAATTCATCTACTTGGCAACACGTCTTTTTAAAAATTTATTTGTGGTTTTTTTTTTTTTTTTAGAGTAGTGACAGTGCAGTTACTCTTGATCAACCTGACTTCGGCTTAAGCATCTCAGCAATCAGCAAACCTGGAGGAGACAGCCCTCACCCAAGAAAGGTTGGTGGAAACCTGGCATGTGATTTATCATAGAAATATGTACGGATTAAAAACCACAAAGGTTTTAAAAATTATCAAATGTTAGCTCTCTATTTTTATATAAAACGTTCCTATATAATCAGCTGAAGGGTCAATTTTATGATCTGGGTAACAATTCTTTGCATAGGAAGCTCTGTTTGCATTAAATACAAATTTGGACATACTTAAGAAGGAAGAATATTTTTTGTTTTTAAAACCCAGTGGTAATACCTAAAGTTGAAGATAAATTTTGAATTCCTAGATGAGATGATAAGAGGCTCTGTAGTTAAATTGTTTCAATGGCTGAGGTATGTGTTCTACTCTTGTTGCTACTGCAGATTTTGTGGTCTATTTTTTGCCATAATTAGGACTGTATATGCAGTAAGGGAGGCCCTGTAACTGCCAACAAAATTTGGTCCAGTGTAGGGCTACCATCATGGGTAGGGCCTATTACAACATTATTTTCTCCTTTAGGGCCAAGTAATTGACTTCCATGGGATGATTCAGGATGCTGTCCGAATGTCACCAAATGAAATTGCCTTGAACAGCCTTAATTGTGATCCAGATCCCTCAGTAAGTGTTTCCGTTCATGTTTCCACCCAGTAATAATAAAATGAGTTTTACATAACCAGGAAAAAAATAAAATACTGCAACAATGTTGTCTTTGTTCCCAAATGCTAAAAGGGGGCTTAGATTTCTGAGAGGGGTATTTCCTTCTTGAAAGGACAGTCATACTTGATACTGGCTTAATTTGTTGACAATTGCTTACTTTTTGAACATCCAACAAATAGAAATGATACCTTATGATGAAAATAATAATAATAATAATAATAATAATAATAATAATAATAATAATAATAATAATAATTGCAGAAACTCACAGAACTTCTGAGGGTGAAATTCTGGTTCCTTTGAATGCAGTATGTTTTTAGCATTCATCTCAGCTGAGACAGCAGCAGAGTTTAGATGGCTGAGGTAAATTTTCGGTAATCACTCCTTGACACAAGCCAGACTTCTCAGACAGTGCACCCAGATCACGTGCCAGCCAGTCTGCCTTACTGCAAAAATGGCTTACTTCAAAATCTTCATTAATATCCAAGTTTCTGCACCTGTAACAGTCGATATTACTACCACATACCAGCTTTTAAAGAAGTATTTAATAGTTTGTCTGTCTAAAAATATTTGAAGTCTGACAGGAACTTATGTTTTTCTTTTTCAGGAACGATTATTGAAACCCCTTAGTGCCTTTATTGGCATGACTGGTGAGATGAGGGAGCTTGCAATGGTTGTAAGCAAAGTAAGATCAATCTCCATGTTAGTTTATTGAGGTGTTGGTTATCTTTGTCATCTGAGAATGCTGGTTTTGTTTCTTTTTACTGTCAGTGAGAGTGCTTATTCTTGAATATGCAAGCTAATTTTCTTTCCATGCACCTCCCAACAAGTCACTTCTTTACAGGTTGTTTCTTTTTGATGCACAATGGGAGGAATTACGACCATTCCTTTCTAATGGGGAACATGTAATCTAATCATGCTATGGAGACTGTTGTGGCTTTTCCCTTTGTTCTTATTGCTACAGAAAAATTACAGTTCTTCTCTGAAAAGAGAGATTTAAATATATTAGTTAATACTAACTATCATCTGATGTATTGTTTAATTGTGATGTAGTGCTGGGAAAAAACTTGATTCAACCCTGTGGGTGCAGTTTCCCTTCAAGGCATTGGGCTTTCGGCAGTGTGGCAGTGTCACACCAGTATCTGAATCTGAATATATCTACTAAAAAAAAAAATCATCATTAAACCCTGATATTCCTGCATTGTTTAGAATCACAGAATCACAGAATTGGTTAGGTTGGAAGAGCCCTCTAAGACCATCAAGTCCATCTGTTCCCCCAGCACTGCCAAGGCCGCCACTAACCCATGTCCCCAAGTGCCACATCCACAGGGCTTTTAAATCCCTCCAGGGATGGGGACTCCAACACCGCCCTGGGCAGCCTGTTCCTAGACTTGATAACACTTTTCATGAAGAAATTTTCCCTGATGTCCAACCTAAACCTCCCCTTGTGCAACTTGAGGCCATTTCCTCTCATCCTGTCTCTTGTTCTCTGGGAGCAGAGCCCGATCTCCCCCCGGTTGCCTGCTCTTGTCAGGGGGTTGCAGAGCCAGAAGGTCCCCCCCGAGCCTCCTTTTCTCCAGGATGAGCCCCCCCAGCTCCCTCAGCCGCTCCTGCTGCTCCAGCCCCTTCCCCAGCTCCGTTCCCTTCCCTGCACACGCTCCAGCCCCTCAGGGTCTCTCCTGTCTGAGGGCCCAGAACTGCCCCAGCACTGGAGGAGCCTCAGCAGTGCCAGCCCTGCTGCCGCACCACGGCTGGGACAGCTCTGGGGCCACTGGGCTAGCACTGGTCCTGTGCTTTGCTTTGTGCAGCTGCAGGGTCTGTTCTCCTATCTCTTCTCAGCTGGTGCAGCTGAGAGATGCTGTAACTGCAGGCTCTGTGAGCAGCACCCTCATCCCAGCACAGGAGCTGCACGAGCAGCACCAGTGATGCACCCAGGACAGATTGGGGATTCTTCCGGGATGGGAAGTTTGACACCTGGAGGGTTCCACGAGGTGGTCAGCACCATTTCATTTCACTCACGGGTTGAGGTGTAGTCCAACAAACAGTCCCTGGGCTGCTGGGGATCAGTGGCTACAAATCAGCTTTGCATGCATCACCTTTGGACGAGGCGTTCATCCAGAAGGCTTCTTAGTATCACAGTGTGTGGTAGTGTTGTGAGTCTTTCTGGATATGGTCATCAGAAATGGTTTCAGCTGTTGCTCCCGTGTACTTATATCATCTGTTTAAAAGAAGCCTGGAATATTTTGCTGAGTGATTTGTTCATAGCTGTGTATGGCCCAAATTCTTGGCCTGCAAGTCTTGCATTTGAAGTTTGGTAGAATTCAAGTATTAAGAAACTTTTGACCTTAAAGTAAGAAAAGTCTCGTTCATCTCAGTTCCTGTCTGGTCTTTTAATTTGTGGTAAACCTTTAAAGTAGTGATGTTCCTGCTGCTGCATTAGCAAGAAAGCAATACAGTTGCTTTCCCTCCATTATGTTATATTTTTTGCATTGTGCTGCATTATGGTATGTTCCTAATTGCTGTGGTAATTGACACTGTATAAATCAATAAAAATAAAGAGCATGTAGTATCTATTTCATAACACAATCTAATTTAATTTGGAAACAGTTATGGAAGCCTCTACTTAATATCAGAAATCTGATTCATCTTAATTTGCTGTTAATAGAAAGGGAAAGTGCAATCTACTCTATATAAATAATTTTTTCTAATTGTATTAAATCAACTTTTCCCCTTGGATACAAGCCCATAATCCTTCTTCAGTCTACAGGGGCTGTTTTTATTGGAGAGCAGAACTTATCTTTAGTATCTGTATTGAGGATAGGAAACTTTTTTGCAGAACAATTAGCCTCTGGAACAGAAAGCCACAAAATATTTCTAAGGCAAATGGAAAGATTCATAGAAGATTTGGAAAGTTTGATGAATTAAATGAAATTAATTTAGTGAGTGCTTCAGGGCATAGACTAATTACTGACTATCTTTTGATAGAAGCTTAGGGGAAAATTTTCCTCCTGTTGCAGAGTTTCTCACAGCTTTTCTTGCAGCTTATAAAATCTTGCATAGTGTGGGATAAATAGCAGTTTTTCAGTGTTACTTATAACATGAGTAATAATATAAGTAATCGGTGCAGCCATAAAGTTACCAAGCATCAAGTTTAGAAAAACAAAAAGTATTTTCACATTTCACAGTGGCTACAGAATAAACACGTTGTAAAAAGAGGGAAGAGAAATTCGCTGAAGAATGAATGTCAAAAGGTGTTTGAACTCAAAGACTAGGATGGGATTTGAATTACTGAAGTCCTGTTGAAGTACACTTGTGGATATAAATTTGAACCAATATATCGATACTATTGCTTATACTTCTGTTTTTTAAACATCCCATACTTGCCAGCAACAGAGGCAAAATATTAGGGTTGGTGACCCTTCATATCGTGATAGTTCTTCATGTGTTGGCTGGTTAGTGAGCCAAACTAACACAAAACATATCTGAGAGTGAGTACATTTGGCAGGAATACATCAGGGAGACTGGGGGCTGGAGGGGAAGCTTGAGGGAAATATGTGGGGTTAAATAATACAGCTTGTATCCCTTAACAGCACTTTTATTTTATCTCTGAGTCGATCCTTTTACTTTGCCAGAGGTCATTATCCCGGTGCAGAAGGAGTTTTACTAACAAAATGTGATGTGTGTTGCAGGACATTTATCTCCATAAGCCCAACGTGAAGTGGGATGATATTATAGGACTGGATGCAGCTAAAAGGCTGGTCAAGGAAGCAGTTGTTTATCCCATAAAGGTAAAGTCCTACATAGTTTTGGGAAAACTGGTGTTGGGCTCCTGAGCATTTTCCTTGTAATTACGGTGTTGTTTTAGAGTTCTTACTATTTCTGTGCTTTTGTAAGCGGTTCATGTTAGAACTACTTCTGTTCCTGTTAGAACTATTCCTGTTCTGTCTGAAATTGCATTTCCTATAGAAAAATGACCTTTCAGTATTAAAATTAACGCATTAAAATGTGGTAAGTCAAATTTTTTGGCACCTTTGACTATGTAAGAAGTGCTGGATTTGGCCTATATTAATTCCATGAAAAATTACTTACAGAAGAGAATATGAAATCAGTTGCATTTGAAAAAAATCACTTAAAACAGATTTCAAATGCTAAATAAAGGATTTTTATCAGTATTCAGATCATACATACTACATTGTTTGGTGTGTTTTTGTGTCCCTTTTCAGATTTTGTGTGTTACCTGAATGTGTTAGGAGCAGTGAAGGTGGGGACTAGAATTCCTCACAATTTGTTACAGATGATACATTTTTAATCCCTGAATTACTTTTCTGTTTCCACAGTACCCAGAGCTGTTTACTGGCATTCTGTCCCCTTGGAAAGGGTTGTTGCTCTATGGACCACCGGGTATGGAGAGCTTTATACCATATCTCTGTGTTCATCACTGCTTCTGGTTTTGTCCCATACATAAATCATTGATGCTAATTAGATCAAGTATGTTAGAAAAGAACCTGTTCTGTGATGTGAGTTAAAAGAAGAGAGTGTTGGATGATTATGTCCATCTCTAGCACTCAAACCTGGCCTTTCTCATGAGCCTTGACTATTTTTTACACCTGAATCATCCAGAAACAGTGCTTATGGTAAAAATTCAGAGACCTGAAAACTCATACCCCTGTTTTTACTCATCTTGGACCATATTAATCAAGTTTGGCATGACCTGATCCTCTGATATGTGAATAGATCTGTCATGGACTCATATCCTCAGTGAAAATGTCCTTCCTTTCTTCTGTTTTTGGGGGTTGTTTTGGGAATAGGGTGGAAACTTTGCCCTCTGCTGGGCCAGTTGTGTGTTTTTGTGGGTGTGTCAGCACAGCTTCCCTGCTCCCTCTGCCCCTTCTTGACAAAAGCTCCACCACCATGAGTGTGGCTGGAAGGGGACACAGGGCATAAGAACCACTTGAGTCAGGATGCAGAGGCTGCCACTGCAGTGAGCTCCATTTGTTCCTGTGAATGTTCAGACGTCTTTGCCACAGCAGGCACCTGACCATATCAGCATGTCCTGCTTCAGACCTTGGGAAGTGCATTTGCAGTGCTATATTACCTGAGTTGCCCCAGACAGGGGCAGTCTGGAAGGGCCACAACCTGCTCCCAGGGCTGGAGCCCCTCTGCTCTGGAGCCAGGCTGGGAGAGCTGGGGGGGTTCACCTGGAGAAGAGAAGGATCCAGGGAGACCTGAGAGCCCCTTGCAGGGCCTAAAGGGGCTCCAGGAGAGCTGGAGAGGGACTGGGGACAAGGGATGGAGGGACAGCAGGAGGGGGAATGGCTCCAAACTGCCAGAGGGCAGGGTTAGATGGGATCCTGAGAAGGAATTGTTCCCTGTGAGGGTGGTAAAATACTGGCACAGGTTTCCCAGAGAAGCTGTGGCTGCCCCATCCCTGGAAGTGTCCAAGGCCAGGTTGGACACAGCTTGGAGCAACCTGGTTAGTGGAAGCTGTCCTTGCCCATGGCAGTGGGTTGGAATGAGATGAGCTTTAAGATCCCTTCCAAACCCAAACCATACTATGACTATTTTACTTGACTGGTAGTGTGAGGAGGGGAATTATTCAAATGTTTGCATTGTCTTCCCTTAGAGAGTGAATTTCTCAAACACTGTTGTTTGTAGGTACTGGAAAAACTTTGCTTGCTAAGGCTGTTGCCACAGAATGCAACACAACCTTTTTCAACATATCAGCATCCACCATTGTCAGCAAATGGAGAGGTGATTCAGAGAAACTTGTCCGGGTAAGAATTACTCTCTCATTCATTATAATTTACAAACATCAGGTTCCCTCTTGAAGAACTGGGGTTAGACACAGAACTGGAATGCAGATGTTCCTCTGGTGCTCATAATATTTCCTGACTTAGACAAAACATGACTTTGATCATACCTAGTTCTTAAAATGTGTGTAACATCACTTCTGCACAAGTCTCGTAGTGGAATCTTGCTGTGGCACTTTGGTTCTGTGATGTAAGATGAAGCAGATGTTCTGAAGGCAGCAAAGGTCTCTGACTCAGTGAAGGACAGACAGACAAGCAGAGTTCCTAACTGAAGTAGTGTTTGCTTAGTGACCCCTTCAGACCACTTCACATCCTTTTTGCAAGTGTCATCTCCTAGGCTTCCTACAAAGTGTTACCAAATTCCCTATTATTCTTAGTCTTCATGGCACAAAGTTGACAGTTCCCTTGTCACAAAGATCTGATGCTCAAATGCACATGTAATGTTTTAAGGAAGGTAGTTTAATGGTAAATAGGTAAATGTATTTTTTAATATAGACTAGGAAGGAGCATTCATAGCTCAGCTGTGGTCCAGAAAAATTCAGGTGTAACGTCCTTGCCCTGGGATACCCATCAGAATCACTCCATAATGTCCACCATTTCCATGTAAGAAATCCACAAGCCCTTAAGACCTTCCTTTATGGTCATCTGTGATTCTGTGATCTCTTAGGCTACACTTTGGACCCTGCAAGTGGCATTCCAAGCATTGTAATCTTTCTTGAAATGCTGGCGATGTCTGCAGCACAATTATTCTTCTTGCCTTCTTGTACCTTTAAAATGGCACATTTTTCTCCTGACATTCCCCTCCTGTTACTGATCCTCTTGACACCTGTCTCAGTAGCTTCCTGGACTTTTCCTTTCTGGCAACAGTAAGGGTGGGACAGTCTGTTTTTCAACACCGTTATCCAAAAGGTTTTTGTGAACATGCTGCAGCACTTGCATTTATATTGAATTTGTGGCATTTTACCGTTAGCTGAGTTTTCGGCAGAATCAAAAAGTGAAATGAGATTGTGGATCAGGAGAGCTCTAAGAAAAGTATTGTGTTTATATCCCAAGATCACATGAGGCTGGTGCAGGAGTTTTCTGAAGTTGTGGGAAGGATACATGGGTTTTGTGGTCATTTGGAGGCATGTCCACTCATCCTCTTTTCCTCAGTTCTACACAGTATTTCTGTGATTTTATATTTCAGATTTCTAGTAAAATTGGTCATGGTCTACTTGTGACTCTGGGCAAATACTTTAAACCCTGTGTTTCATATTCAAAGTGATGAATATAATACATATCTTTTAAAATCTGCTTTGTTTAAGTGTTCAGATTAAAAAGTGCTGGATCAATATGTATTGCTAGTGATACTTATTTAAAAACTCAAAGAACGCTTTAGTCTAGAAGAACTGGCATTGTGTTCTTAGTGCTAATACAGGCCTTTCCGTGTTTATGGAAAAACATGATGAAACTTCCTTCTCCGAAGGGCAGACCCACATTTTTTGTGTCAGCTTAATAGTCCATTTTTTAATCTTGATTGGTCAAGCAATTTATGCTTGTTTTCACCAGAAATAAAACCAAAATAACTGCTTGATTCTTATCAAGAGAATCAGTCCGTTTTCTTTCATTATGATTCAGCTGACTTATATTTTTTTTCTCAAATCCTTATTTAAAAAAAAAAAAAAAAACTAAAATGGAGCAACAACAAAAGGCACTTGTTTAATCTCTGATAACAATTTAGGAGTTCCCAGAATCCTCTGATGGATCATTTTCTTCTATCCCATTATTCTCAGGGTACTCTGATAGGATTTAGCCAGAAAGATTTACACATAAAGACAGGATTACAAGGCTGTGTTCTTTATATCTCCTTTACAAACCTCTCAGAATTTGAGAGGATTCAGGGACCCTCAGCCTACCCAGAGGTTTTTCCCAGCAGACATCCCTTGGAATGTGGGTGCTGTTATTTGTCTTGCATGCCAGTGGTCCTTGATGCCCTTTTGTGCCAGTTCCCTTCACATTTACTCTTCTCTCTGAACAGGTGTTGTTTGAGCTCGCCCGCTACCACGCTCCTTCCACAATTTTCTTGGATGAGCTGGAGTCAGTTATGAGTCAAAGAGGCACTGCTCCTGGGTAACTGATGGGACCACTTTGGGGGATTTGAAGAGTGGGGTGGAGGGTTTTTTCAGTTGCAGAAGAGAAGCAAGAGTGAAAGGCAGGTTGTGTGAGGATGAGCAAGGGGCTTAGGCGGGCAGCAAGTGTGTATAACCAGTGGTGCTGTATTTTAAAGTCAGGGATTTGGAGTGGAAATAAGGGCAGTGGTGGGGGAAACAACAGATGAATTGTCAGATGGTTTTTTTACACTTTGGACAAGCTTAGGCATAGCAGAGTAATATGGAGTGTACACACTGGAATGGCATTTTCATTAATGGGACAGATTTTGGTGGCATTGTCAGAACTTCCAGTTGCAGGAATGGTTGGATATTACTATTTTCACCCAAGGCATAGACAGTTTATAGTTAAAAAACTGATTGAAAAGGTTAGGGGTGGGAAAGGAGCAGGAGAAATGTAAAACTATTGTTATAACCTTTAGGAACCCACTACAGTGGATTTTATGTACAGTGAATTACATGCTCGGTTATATAATTTCTTGTTTGCCATTTATAAAGAGAATATGCCCTATTTTAAAGATACTACTTCTAATCATTCTCAGTTAATAGATACTAATTATGACCCAAATTTTGCCTTCCTAGATGTATTTTTACATATCCTTATTAAATACTGACTTGGCACTGATGTGAGGATGCCTTTGCAGAAATAAGCCATTAAACCTGAAGTGCAGCACTTGCCATCTAAGGCCCTGATGTTTTCCCTGGGCTCAATCCAGGAGTTTCCAAGAGTTCCACATCTGGAACCAAGAGTTCCAGCTGGTTTTCTACAAAACTGATTACCTGGATCAGGGCCAGAACTCTTAGGACTTTGCTGAAGTTCTCCTTTTTTTTTTTTTTTTTTGAGGAAGGATCCTTTCTGTGTGGTCTCTGCCCCATTTTTAAATTCATGTCATTGAGGCATATTTTTCTGCTTGCTCTTGACAGAACGTTTTGCATCATGCTGAACTCAGTAGTTAGTGTGTCTTCTTGTGGACACTTAATATTCACTCATAGAAAAATGCCACCCTGAATAGGTGGATGTGTTAGTTATTTAAATGGCAACTATCACACTGTAAAAATTCCCTTGTATAGATCCGTTAATCAATCAATCAAAGCCTTAGCTGTTGTCCAGTAAACGTCAGCGTTGAGTGGAGATTAATATGAAGGAAAAAAAATAAAAATTAATATTTTCTTTGGATTCAGTACTAGTGAATTCACCTCACTTTAATGCACTGGAAAGAGTCCATTTAAGTAATCATTAGAAAGCTTGATTTTAATGCTTAGATGTTAGCTAATGGAGCTTAATCATGCTTTGAACTGGGGCAAAACTGTGACAGGGGCTCAGTTGCTGTGAATGACACTGTATAAATAAAGATGATTACTTTAATGCACTGAGCAAATAATATTTCTCTGAATCTTGGTAGTGGTGAACATGAAGGAAGTCGGCGGATGAAAACAGAATTACTGGTGCAGATGGATGGCTTGGCCCGATCTGATGATCTTGTATTTGTTTTAGCAGCTTCCAATCTGCCATGGTAAGAGATCCAGAGAGTACATTTTGAATACATTTTCATGAGCTTCTAAGCACAGATAAAGATTTTATTTAGACTTCTGCAGGAAAAGCCTTGATATTTGGTTAAAGCATTTAAAGATTAATTTGGAGCTTTTACTTTTAAACTCTTCAATTCTTGCTATTTGTGTCACATGAGAATAATCCATAATAAAGTCAACATATGCTGGTCCTACAGCTGCTAATATTTAAAATGGAGTATTTGAATTTATAGGCAAGTTATTTACTATGTTTAAGCTAAGAAGGGTTTCAGCCTGGAACTCTAAGGTGCTTAAAACATCTGGTGCTTAGAAGGATACTCCATAAATAGGAATGTTGGATTTTATTGATATGAAAAGGGACTTTGGATAGTTGAGGGGCATAATTCCTCAGTTTTCTTAACATAATTTAGTATAGAAGAATAAACAATTTGAGACTGGAACAAGAGCATTTCATCATATTGTTTCTCAAACTGTGTCCAAAGGCACACAGACCTATTCCCATCTCCAATGCAGAGCTACGAGCTGGGAGTCAGAAAAGGAGAAAACAGCAGTCCTGTTTCCAGGGAACCTCAAACCATGGTCTGGGAAACATTTGGGGTAGCCCAGTGGAAGGTGATCCCAGGAATGACCTGTGTGAACAGTGGATCAGCAGCATTTCAAGTGGCAACACTTGAAATTTGACATTAAAGGCACTTTGTTTGTTGAGGTGACACCCAGTTCTGCCCTGTGACAGCCACAGAGCAGGGCACCCAAAACCAGCTGGGAGCCAGAAGGGGCACTGCACCCACAAACAGCAGGCTTCATTCATGGATAGTTTTTCATGATTAGTGATTTTTGGCTCATTCTTATGGGGTTGCCGTTGGAAGAAATGCTGGAAAAGCCTCTCTTTGTGACTGGAGGGCTCTGGGCTCTGAGCAGTCTGCTGGGTGTGTCTGAGTCTGAGTGGCACAGAGTGTGTATCCACATCTTGCTTTTGAGTACTTCAACTCCCGGTGCATTTTATTGTATTTTATTTATTTTTTATTTTATTTTGTCTAAGACACAGTTTTACCTCTCAGTCATGACACACCACCTGATGTTCCCTCACAATGTCTGTGCTAACATTTTATTCCTCTCCTCAGCTGATCCCCTTTTTGTCAGGCCTGGCTGAAAGGCCCAGGGAAGAGGAAAAGAGAGTTAAACAACAGAAGTGATGTTGGTGCCTGAGAACTGAGGCTCAGAGGTAGTATTTTCCATCAGTCCCATGTGGCCTGTAAGCCTGGCCCGTTGGGGCTGAGAAGCCTCAGTCCTTCAGAGAAGCAGGAGGATGTGGATCCCGATTCAAGTGCCAAATGGCAGCATATTCAGAGGCTGCCCCTCTGTCTGTGGTTTGCCCAGACCATTTAGGGCTCTTTAAGTGGTAGAATGGCTGTGTGGACACCTAAATTTTGTGTACAAGTTGGGCTGGTTCCTACCCAACAGTGTGACTACAGAGCCATCACAGGCTTTTATAGCCATAATAGCTGAGTCTGTGTGCTAGTTTGGGGGATTTATGCCTTGGACAAACTCATGAATTTAAATCAGTACAAAATCCACCCCATTTTGTGTTTCAGTAGCTACGTGAAAGGAACGGAGCAGAATTCTAATTATGTTCCAGTTATGTAGGAAAATGCGGAAAAAGAAATAACTGGACAGTCAAGTTTGAAAGAGAATTAATGCATTAATATGCATTAATAATCCATGACAAACGTTAATAATCTATGTATCTTTATGGTTTGTTACTAATACACTGTAAATGTTTATGTTACCGCAGCATCACTGCCCTTTTAGAAGGAGAGACTCTGAGCAGTGCATTGCACCTTTCCACGGACTGAAATTAATCCTGTGAGATAATTATCCATGCATAGTGATTCCTGCATGAGTCTTGTTAGCCTGTGTCTGCCTTACACAAGCAATAAACTCTTCCTGGGAAGTCACGCAGAAATTACGGAGTTCAGTTTTGAGTGTTTTACACGTTTTGATTTGGGATCATTTTTGTAATACTGAAGTGAAAATGCCTGCAAAGTTGCTTCTTTGAAACAGCTCAATTGACACAGCATTTTTTTTCAGGTCGATCCAAATTAAAAAGACTTCTATTTTGCAGGAACTTGCCTCCAAAAGGAAGCAAGCAGTCTGTGTTGATATAAGGGTGGCAGCTGAGATGTTGTGAGAAGCCAGCTCTCACTTCTGAAACTTTTACCCGAGAGCTTAGAACTTCCTTTTGGACTTTCTCTCTTTTGGGCAGGTTGGATTTTGCTCTTTCTTAAGCAAATCCAACCTATGAATGTCCTGATGAGGTTGTCTGGCAGAAATGTCCCTACCACAGAGAAAATGCTTTAAGAAGTGGCTGAATGTGTGCTTGGAAAGGTGCCTTAGGGGAATGGAAAGCTAGTGAAAGTCGTGAGCATCACTGGGCTCACTAGCCTCAAGGAAACTTGGGAGTATCTGCCTCCAGAGAGGTCAGCAGGGATTGAATCTCTCTTTAGATCTCAACTGTATATATTTACAGATTGGTTTTATGAGTAATAAGTGACATTTAGTCCCACTGTCAGACCCAGAATTCAGCTCCACGAGAATATTTAATAACAGAGTTTCAGAATACCTAGTCCCACCGTGGGAGGCTGTGTCTCCACAGCACAGCCGTGCGCTCTTGCAAACATTTGGTGTTAAGCTGGATTTCAGGAGATTTGTTTAACTTGGATATTTATTGATCATGGAAAAAATTGGTACCAAGCTGCTTTTAGATGAATGAAAAGAAGCCTAAACAAAGCTCTTTATGCCGTCCTAAGCTGCACTGCAGCTATTGATCTTCCTCTTTAGCCTGTCCTTGCTGTCCAGCCCCACTTTCGGCTACTCGTCAGCAGAGCATTCCTATTGACAAATAACTTGCTGAAATGATTCAGTGTAATTAAATAAAATAAAGGCCTCGTTAGTGAAGGAATAAAAGGATCCTTAATCCCATAGTGAATGTTTCCTGATGAATTAGCACATTTAATTCAACTTCCATTGCAGTGCTGCTTTCTCCTCCCTCCCCACCCTCAGGCTGGGTGGTTTTGGGGTGGGCTGACAGACTCTTCCCTTCCAACCCAAACGGTTCCATGATCCTGTGATGCCTCCTAATGTTAACCTGGGGGAGTTCTGAAAAGTCACTGAGTCTTATGGGTCCTGTAGAACTCTGTGCACCTTTTCAGGAGGATCTCTCAGTACTTTAATTGGCTGTTGTTGCAGAGGATATTTTGGTTGGCTCCGTGCTTGTTATTCTACTCTGGTTAATGTCGCTTAACTTGACCTAACAAAACAGTTTAGCAAACGACCCAAACACTTAAGATAACAAAAAATATTATTTCTTTATTTTGCTCTTTAGCCAACAAGCCAGGTCGTTGTAACCTTTCTAGATAAATAGAATCACAGAATGGTGTGGGTTGGAACAGACCTTAAACTCATCTTGTTTCACCTCCCTTCCATGGGCAGGAACACCTTCCACTGGATCAGGTTGCTCGCAGCCCTGTCCAACCTGGCCTTGGACGTTTCCAGGCATCCAGGGGCAGCCACAGCTTCTCTGGGAAAAAACAGAGCAACTTCATGCTTACAGAACATTGATAGAGAGCTCATAAAACTGTGATCTTGCAGGGGAAGCAGGAGGAGTCATGGAAAACTTCATCGCTTGGAGGATTTTCAGGGTATTTGCAGAGACTGGCTGTGGTTGTCCTTTGCCTACACGTGCTTTTCGGAGTACCTGTGTGGGCACCTCCAAAACCCTGAGAACTTTTGCCCTCTGTACACAGAGGATGTTAATATGGGTGAATGACTGCAAAGGGGTTGGCCAGCCAGAGCAATTATTTCCAGCCAAATAATTTCCATCCAAGAAAAGCGATTTTGATAAGTTGGGTAGAAGAAGACACTTGGAAGGTGAACAGGTGAGTGTGGTTCTTTGTGGGACCCTGTGCTATTGCACTGGATGTTGGACAGCATCTGAAACAGCCTAAAAATATCAATAATAATATCAATATTCTGATAGCCACTGATGAACAAATTCTAGTATTTACTCCTGTGGCCCTGACTAGAAGTAGTAGGGTGGATCTGAGCAAACTCCTGTTGTCCTCTGGGTTCCTACTGGTCTGGTTTTCTGATCTTTGTGTTCGTTGCCCTTGACTCAGTGCACGTGGAACAAGGTCTCCCAAACTGAGATGTCCTTTCTGGGGAGAGGGACATTGCTGCTCCTGCTGAGCTGCCCCTATACAGAGTTTTGAGAGCACCCTTTTGGGTTCCTTTATCATGTGCTGTGCCACTAGAAAACATTTACTCTTAAAAAAAAGAAGGAAAAGTCACCAAATGTGACAGGAACAAACTATGTCAGTGTGCTACAGATCCATCTTGAGCTGGCTTTGAGCTCCCTGTAAATTAAAGGGAGTTTCATACAAGGAACTCCATCCATCGCCTGAATGTTGACTCTCCTGGCAAAAATATTTCACCCAGGGAATTGGGAAAGGTAGAGGCAGGTTTTTTTAAGTGTATCTACAGTCCCAGGTTGCAGGTACAACCCTCCAACAGCTGGTTCCTTCTGCTCAGCCGGCGTGGGTGGAAATGGTGGTTATGGCTCCTGTTCTTCTGTCTGCACAAGGCACGTTGAAGTGAATTTCCCCTAGATGAAAGTTTCTTGGCAGGTAGGAGGACTGAACTATATTTTAAATTGGAATAATGAGTCTGTGACTGAATGGGGCCAGTAGAGAAAGGTTGGTACACAAGCTTTTTTTTTTTTTTTTTTTTAAGGCAAACCATCTTTATCGGTTCTGATGTTCACAGAATCATGGGTTTTGGCTCATTGACACATTTATCCAGCTTGTCCACCCTTCACAAGATCCTTTTTGTAAGGATAATATGCTTTGTGAGTGTATTATTTATAATTTGTATTGCAGGAGCAGTCCCAGATCGGCGTCTTGTTCTGCCGTAATACATGGCCTCACATCCAAGACCTTCAGTCTGGATTTTATACCTACTGAGCATCCCTTACTAAGTAGCAATTAATTAGTCCTGACAGTGCCCCAGACAGACAATTTGTACTGTCTCCTTAATAGCAGAGGGAGAAAGGGAGAGGTTGTTACTGATGAGACACGCAGCAGATGAGCACCAGAGCCAGGGACGGAAACTGCAAGTTCTCATTGTTATTGCTAATCCTCAGTGTCACAAGCCAGCGCATCACTGACATGCCGAACAGGAACACACTGGATAATTAACCCTTTTTTTTTTTTTTTTTTTTTAATTTTGGCACAGTTACAGGTGGGGTTGAAAAATGCCAGTCCCTGCAGCGAGGACCTTGCTGTCAAAGTCAGGTCTCCCCAACAAGACACACTGAGATGTTCCCTCTCCCCCTTTGCTCGCAGGGAGTTGGACTCTGCCATGCTGCGGCGGCTGGAGAAGAGGATTCTGGTGGACCTGCCCAGTAAAGAGGCACGGCAGGTGATGATCCAGCACTGGCTGCCCCCTCTGAGCAACAGCGGGGGTGTGGCGCTGAGGACAGATCTGGATTACAGCTTGCTGAGCCAGGTGGGAAGCACTGTGACAGGCACAGTGCCTGCTGGAGGCATTTCTGTGCCAGAACTGTGAAACAAGAGTTGGGACAGCACTTTGGTGTATGGCAGTTGTGACACACAGAGCTGGGGAAGGACCTCAGCTCAGTCTGAGGCTCCAAAGGGAGGCCGGCAGGACGCGGCGCTCGCTGAGCATGTCACAGGCACGTGGAAATCGCTGTTTTCGCACAGCTCCGCCTGCAAAATGGTGCATTCTGGTCCCCTCTGTTGGGCCAACTTTTCAGCCTTAAATACAGGGACACTTCCAGCAACAGCACATTTTATGGCTGTTCTCACCAAGCTGGGAGCACTTCCAATTCATCGGGGTAATAAGCAGTTAATTGTGTAGGGAAGGTTTTTCACCACTCCACTGCTGCAGGAGAAAAGAGCGTTCGACAGTGAAAAGATTCACTGGATACCCAGGCTCTCTTCATTTAGCCCTTTTGTCACATCCTGAGTTCTTCGGACACAGAACCACAGAATCCTAGAATGCTTTTGGGTTGGAAGGGACCTTAAAGATCATCCAGTTCCAACTCCCTGCCATGGGCAGAGATGCCACTCACTAGAGTAGTTTGCTCAAGGACTCGATGCCTAAATATTTTACAGTTTACCCAGTTGACTTGTTTTACATCTGTTCACGGAGAAACACTGCTCAGTTTTGGATTTATAAGTCCTAATAAGGAAATGCAGGTATTTTGTTAACAGGAAAGATGGAGATGGGCACAGAAAGGTGGGGTTTATTTGACCTACAGAAAATTGCAGTTTAAAGAGAAAATTCCCAGTGTTTTCCTTGCTCCTACAAGGTATTGTGGGCATTCAAAAGAAGAACAAGCAACATAATTTCAAGAAGAAATTATACACATAAAAATAGATAGGGGTGTGGTGCATGTCTGTGAGTATACATATACAAACAGATATTTCAGACAACAATAGACTTCACAAAGATTTTCCATAAATACACAGACAATATATATGCCTGTAAATGCCATTCCTGTCTGATTTGTGAGCTGTAATGCATCATTCTGATCCCATCACAGGAAACAGATGGATACTCTGGCTCAGACATAAAACTCGTGTGCAAGGAAGCAGCCATGAGACCAGTGAGGAAAATATTTGATGCTCTTGAAAATCACCAGCCAGGTACCTCAGCTGTGAGCAGAGAATGTGAACTGGCAAATGCTCATCTCCTGCTGTAACTCTAGGAACGATCATGTTAACCCCAGCAGGTGGAGCTCTGATATCTGCCTGGAAAAGTTCTAAACTCTACAGGTCTAAAACATCCAAATTTCTGAAAATCAGGCCTTCTTTTAAATCTGTCAGTATCTTTGCTTTCTGCATAAATACAAGGTTTTTTTCTTTATCTCACTACATTTATTCTGTTGTTTCCCTCTATTAAGTGTTGCATTAGGCGGGGACATAAAAGAATGTCTTTTGGTGATGATAACAGTATTTATTCAGTTCTCTTCTCTTTAGGTAACAGTAAGCTGCCTGTGATCCAACTGGACACGATTACAACAGCTGATTTCCTGGATGTGATCACCCACACCAAGCCATCAGCAAAGAACCTGAGCCGGAAGTACATGGCTTGGCAGAGGGAATTTGAGTCAGTCTGACAGAAAACACCCCCGAAACTTCCAGGACTTCCAAAGAGGCATGTCCTTGCTCCAAAGGATCAGGTGGTGATGGGGAAGAAGATGCTGTTGCCTCAGGGAAGAGAAAGCAGTGACAAGCATCAGAGGGAAATCTTTACTTCCAAAATTTAAGGGTGGGTGGGAGAATGGTGGTTATTCTTTATTAACCATTTTAATGACCATTCAAAAAACATTCTTCATGGAAATAATGTGATGGCAGCTCCTATGCAACAAGGCCTCCAGCCTTAATTTTATGCATAAAGATTTAAAAGATTGATTGCTTCTCAGTCTTTATTCATGACAGCTGCATTTAGGTTTGAGGTAGAACTGGAGCAGGCGGCTTAAAAACAGTCAGACAATCAGTGTAATTCTCCATTCCCAAGACTCACTAGAGCATCACAGTCAGTGTTAGCTGTACCAGCACGCTTCCTAATGAGACTTGAAACGGGTTTTCAGTGAAATTCAGGACCTTAGCAAGGCTTTGTAGATGAGGTTAGTTTGTTATCATTTCCAGCTGAGTTGAAAGCCTTGACGTGCCAAGTGTGTTACTTTCCTGTTGGTTTGGAGCATTTCCAAGGTGGAAAAGGCAAGGAATTAAGAGGGAGACTAGAAAATCAGCAGGTTTAGGTTAATTAACAAGAAACCTTATTGGTGGTTACCCACTGGTTCACAGCCAGCCATAAAACAGAATCACAGAATCCCAAGTGGCTCAGGTTGGAAGGGAACACAGTGGGTCACCTGGTCCCGCCTCCTTGTTCGAGCAGGGCCATCCCAGAGCACACGGCACAGGATTGTGCCCAGATGTTCTGGGATATCAACCAGTGAGGGAGGCTCCACACCTCTTCAGTGCTGGGTCACTGCAGAGCAAGGAAGTTCTTCCTCACGTTCAGATGGAACTTCCTGGGCATCAGTTTGTGCCTCTTCCTCTTGTCCCGTTGCTGGGCACCCCCGAGCAGAGCCTGGTCCATCCTCTGACCCCTCTCTGCAGACACTGACAGACATCAGCGAGGCTGAACAGCCCCATCTCCCTCAGCCTTCCCTCCTCACAGAGATGCTCCAGCCCCTTCATCACCTGAGTCACCCTCCAGTCACCCTCCACTGGCCCCCGTGGAGTTTTGCAGTGTTTTTGCAGTGCAGTGCACGCTGGAGGCTGCTACTGCACACACAGCCAGATGAGCAGTCAGCACTGCCACGTGTCCTGCACCCTTTGCACCACCAGTTCTAACGACTCACTCTTTCAGATCTCATTGCTGCCCTTCTCTTACCCTCCTTCCTCCTTGGCAAGACACTTCCCGTCTTAGCAGTTCTCCCGGTGTTTTCCTTGGGCTTGTGTGCATCTGCATTCCGAGTGCCAGGGCTGTGCACGCTTCCCAGCACATCCCAGGACCTCTGAGGCACTGACGGTCCCTTTTAGTTCCAGCATCACTCACGTCAGAAGTCTCCACGGGAAATGTCTTCACAGCATTTTGCTTATACTCTCCCACCTCCTGAACCTGACTCTGACCCCCTGGGCCACAGACCTCCCTTGCATCCTCCAAGCAGAAACAGGCTCAGAACTGCTGGCACAAAAACCAGATGTGTGAATTTACCCAGAACTGTACGTGACAGCGTGTGAGGGCACACAGACAATATCTAAAGATGGCTTCTGTTCCCGAGGGGTCTCTGCTCCCAGGTAACAAGTGACACCAGGAGAAACGGCCTCAAGTTGTGCCAGAGGAGGTTCAGGTTGGATATTTGGAATGATTTCTTCACTGAAGGGGCTCTCCCGCTCTGCACAGGCTGCCCAGGGCAGTGTTGGAGTCCTCATTCCTGGAGGGATTTAAAAGCCCCGTCGATGTGGCACCTGGGGACATGGGTTAGTGGTGACCTTGGCAGCGCTGGAAGAATGGATGAACTCGATGATCTTAAAGGGCTTTTCAAACCTAAACGATTCTGGGTTTGTACTGCAAAATCTGCAAAATCCATCCACGCATTCTTTCTGTAGCAGAGACTGAATGCAGTAACCACCCACCAAGGGAGGCTGCAGAGAGACGCTGTCACATGTCAGGAAATTCATTCATCACGATGATTTTGTTTAACAGGAACAAGCATGGCTCATTAACACAAAACTGTATTTTCAATAAGGTTAATACTCCAGTAATGCATAATTACAATCTAATAATTTAACACTCAGGAGCACTGTAAAACAACTGTAAAGGACTTTGATTATTAGAGTTTGCAAATAGACCAGAAAAGCCATTTACCATCATTACAAAGTTGGTTCATATTGGGGGATGCAGAGCATAGGAAAAGCATTGCATGATACAGAATTAAATTTCATTTTACAGCTCTGCTAACCAACTGTAAAAACTGGAATGTGTCCCCATGGCTCGTGAAGGATTTTTCCCATAGCATGAAAAAGAAACAAAAAAATCCCCAACAACAAAGAAATTTTGCAACTGTAGCACTAATAGGACCCTGCTGAAGCCTAATTTTAAAAAGTCGCAGTCTCTGAGGCATTTAATACCAGAGTTTTGTTTCTGTATCATTCTTTTTAATAACAGCATCTAATTAAAACATCTGTAAAATGCTGACAGTTTTTAATTTTATGTAAAATTTGAAAAACAAAGAACAGGATCTGCTGTAATGAGAGGAAAGACAGCCACAGCGGTTATTATTAAGCAATAGTGGTATTTTAATTTAAAAGTCACTTCCAAATGTGCACAATCTCTACCTTTAAGTAAGAGCTCAGTGAAATCACTACAGGCCAACTAAGGCTCTGTTACTGTTGGTATTTTCAGTGCATGCTTTCAGGATAGGTGTCACTTTCCAGACAGGGCTTTTCATCAGGTGTTTCCTGAAAACCGAAGATGAGCAGAACTCTGCCACACCCCCTGTGTGCAGTGACTGTGCTGGGCCCACAGGGAGCCTCTGCCCCTCACACCACGGGCCGGTTTCTGATGCCACACATGCATCAACTGATCTTGGGACCTTAATTTTTGAAGCAAAAATGAAGGAAATTGTGTGAAGCACACGGTTCTCTAAACCAACCAAACCCTGTCTCACAGCATACTCTTCAGGATGTGTTCCACTGCCTCTGGGAAGCTCTCACAGGTTAAGTAGGGAGCCGGGTTGATTTTGTCTTCATCTGCTGGTCGATATTTACCTGTAACAGATTAGCAAAAAGATCCATTTACCAAGCTCCTCTGAGTATCTTTTTTTTTTTTTTTTTTTTTTTTTTTTTTTTTTTTTTTTTTTTTTTTTTTTTTTTTTTTTTTGTCCCCCTGAAAATTAGAGCCTCCTCAAATCAGTACCAACTAGGTAGGAGGAATACCCCTCTGAGGTTCTCCTGCAACAAACATCCCACAAGGCTTCCCTAACATACACTAAGGATTCCTCCAGGGGCAGCTCTGGCTCTAAATTGTTGTTACTTATGCGCTGGTTCACAGTGCAGTACTGGCACTGTTCTCTCACTGACTGTTCATAGATCCATGTTGAAGGTTCTTGAAATATTAATGTTATTTTCACTTTTATAGAATCACAGAACTCCAGAATGGTTTGGGTTGGAAGGGGACCTTAAAGCTCATCTTGTTCCATCCCCTGCCATGGGCAGGGACACCTTCCACTATCCCAGGCTGCTCCAACCCCCACCCAACCCGGCCTTGGACACTTCCAGGGATCCAGGGGCAGCCACAGCTTCTCTGGGCAACCTGTGCCAGGGTCTCACCACCCTCACAGCCAAGAATTTCCTCCTCCTATCTCTAACCTGAATTTCATCCTTTTCAGTTTGAACCTATTAGTCCTTGTTCTATCACCACAGTTCCTGATGAAAAGTGCCTCTCTGAAGACTCTTCCAAGGAACAGCAGGATTTACTTCCTTTCATGTTCAACATAACAGTGTAGCACAAGCAGCTGCCACCTCAAAAAGGCCTCACCCAGTCCACGGTACCATCAGCAACATCATCAGTCCCTTCAGGTTCCTCTTTTACCCAAAGCAAAATTATGCTTATAATGACCACTGTAATTCCTAGGTGGGCTGTTACAAAGCACCAGGGCTGGCCCCAGGGCTCTCTGTGCCTTCACTCTGGGCCCAGAGGTTGCCAGTACCTGGAGTGAGATCACTGAAAGCACCACCCTCTCCTGAAATGACCGATCCGTGGACTCCTTACCTGTCCTCACCAAAATCCCACGCATGCCCGCGTCCTGGGCACCACCAACATCATCCCTGCAGTCCTGGGGCAGAACAGAGAGCAACAGGTTGGTGGGCATGGACACTGCCCCAACAACTCCTGCTTTGCACATCACTTAAAAGCCGCGACATTGAATCGAAATCTTTCAGCTGCCTGTCAGTGGAACTGTCACAGGAGTGGTTTGCTGAGTGCTTTTTGCCCCACCAAAGAGTGAGCCAAGTGAGAATCCACCCCAGGCATCACCCATTAAATCCTGTGAGTTTTCACGGAAATGTTTAGGCTGGGAATGACCTCAAAGATCGTCAAGTCCAACCGTTCCCCCCACACTGCCAAGGCCAGCACTCACCTTAACCCTAACCCATATCCCCAAGTGCCACATCACTCAGCTTTTAAACCCCTCCAGGGATGGGGACTCCACCACTGTCCTGGACAGCTGTGCCAGGGCTGGACAACCCTTTCCATGGGGAAAATTTTCCCAGTATCCAATCTAAACCTCCCCTGGCACAGCTTGAGGCTGTTTTGTCTCATCCTGTCCCTTGTTCCCTGGAAGCAGAGCCCGACACCCGCCCCTGGCTCCCCCTCCTGTCAGGGAGTTGCAGAGCCAGAAGGTCCCCCCTGAGCCTCCTTCTCTCCAGGATGAGCCCCCCCAGCTCCCTCAGCCGTTCCTGCTGCTCCAGCCCCTTCCCAAGCTCTGTTCCCTTCCCTGGACACACAAAGGGGTGATTCCAAAGGGCAGAGCCATCCCTTTGCAAGCAGTGCCCCCAGCAGAGATGAGCACTGTGTCAGCGGGCAGGTGATGAGGGTGTTGGTCCCCACGTACATCTCCGATCATGACGGCCTCCTCTGGGGCACAGCCAATCCCCCTCAGGGCTTCCAGGAAAAAGGTTTTCTCCGGCTTCCCCACCACCGTCGCTTTCGTGTCCGTCGCGTATTCCAGCCCCGTCACGAAAGGCCCAGGTCCCAAAGACAGCCCATCTTTCTTCTTGAAATACCTGGCTTTATGAATTGCTATAAGAGGAGCCCCGTCCAAAATCAACCTAGAGAATGAATGAAGGAGAAAAGTACAAAATGTTAAAGAAGTTATA